CATATATATTTTAGTATAAGATTTAATTAGATATCAATACAATTTCTTTTTCCCTTATTTTCATTTCATTTATTTTCTTTTTTTCTTTTTCATCTAATTAATTTCTCTTTGTTAAATTAATTGAATATATTCCTCGACCGAATTAGACGTTCTTATACACGAAAAGATAATAAACAATTGGTGCTTACTCACACTTTTCTACTATGGTGACCTAAACGTCTATTCTAAACGATTAAACTATGTCTACTTTTTACCAACAAATAATAATAATGATAATGATAATTAAGAAAATATATAAGGACAACATTAATTTAAATAAAAATAATAATAATAGTAGTAATAATAATAATAATAATAATAATAATAATAAAATAAAAAATTAAGTAATGAATACATTCCCGTGCGATGTAATTACTCGATACGAATTACCAGACAAAATTCAGTGATCAAATTTCTACGTACAAATAATTGTTGCGATTTAGTATCGTATCGCTTAACTTACCTATAATATACATTATTTTAAATACATTTCTATATATTATTAATCATCACATCTTCTCCTTCTTCTTATCGCTTAAATTAAATGAACGTCAAATTCGGTTTATCGGAAAGATATTTTGAAATATTTCCATTTAAAAATTACATTTTAATCTCAAGAAATTTTATTTGAAAATTCTTATTGGAAAAAAAAAAGAAAAAAAAAAAACAATCCAAATTTTGTTATTTCTTTTTCTTTTTGCAATTTTATTTTTCATCCATGTTAATTCTTTTTTTGTTATTTCAACAAGACAAAAAAAAAAGTCCAGACCATTAGTTAGAACAATAATATAATAAGAAGAAATATTATTAGTTGTCGAATTGAATTCGCTCGTAGCGAAATGATTAATTATCGTATATATTTGTGGTAGTTCATAGGGAGCGGTGTCGAGAAAGAATCTACGTGATACCTGGTAATCGCGTATAATGCACTCCCATTATCATCCATAGCACGTTATATGGATTTCTATATAAAAACGGCATTGATTTCATTTAATACACTAAGAGGAGCTAAAAAAGCTTGATTACATATTGCAAAAAAACTTATATATATATATATATATATATATACATATATTTATATACATATATATATATATATATATTGGTATGTATAGTAAAAAATATGATATAATTAAATGTGTGTCGTCACAACTGCCACCTAGAAATAAAACATACATTACGAAGATCGAGATAACGGAGAGAATAACAACATACGACCTCTTCTACTATATTCAAAAATACTTACTCAATATATATTACCATGTTAATATATTATAAATATATATTTAATATAATAATAATAATAACATTAAAACAGAAATCAACAGAAAAAAAGAAATGATATAAATAGAAAGAATGGAAGTGGTAAGTGAGTGAGTGAGAAAAAGAGAAAGAGAGAAGAGGGGGAGGGATATTTGTATACCAAAGATCACTAAAATCAAATAAAAAGAATAAGACAAATACGATAAGTGAAATTGGAAATTGTAACGAAATATTTGACTCGTATGGAAATTAATTTCGTTTTTTTCTTTTTTTGATTTTTTACAAAGATTTCGTTAATTACGTTATAGATGTGATTTAAAAAACATTCCTGCGTTTAAATAATTTTTCGAGTAATTTATTTTGCCGTAAAATGTCTTGAATTATGGATATGGAAAAAAAAAACGAAATTACTTTCCGAACAGCCTGATATTATATTATATTATTAAAAAAGAAAAAAAAACGTTTACATAACTAATGATGATAATAAAAATAAGAATAACTAAATAGCAGGGAATTAATATCTATAATAAACAATTTGGTTCGTTGCGTCCTATCGACTAGAATCTAACGATGCCAAAAGAAATACCAGGTAAATCATGTCTAAAAAGTTTGGTTCGTTGCGTCCTATCGACTGATAATCGATTCACACGTATTTGAAAAAATACTACAAATATCGATCACCCCTCGACGTTCACAAGATAGGTATTGCCAAAAATTTCTTGTTTTTTTTGTTTGTTTTTTTTTGGTTGTTTTTTCACGAAGGGTTCTTTTCAACACGTCGAGGTACGATCATGGTACGATCGGATAAACTAGCCTAAGTGTGAGATTACGATCTAATAAATAAATAAATTGTTAAATAAATAATTAATTAAATAAATAAATAAATTAATTAATTAATTATAGAGGCGAAAAAAGAGTGTCAACGTGTACGTTCCAAACGATATACATACATACGTTCGCAAACGTTCTCACTACATTTAAATATTAATCGTCTATATATTAGATATATATATATATATTTGTATGTATGTATGTAATGTGAGCTACGTCGAATATAATCGATGCTCTCTAATATCGATTTTAATCAATATACCTTTGCTCGAATAGAAATGCTCCGGTGGTAACTGTAAACGTGGAGACAGACCGTAAATGGATTAGTAAATAAAAAAAAGAAAAAAAAAAATTAGAAAACGAAAACAAGCATAAAAATGATAATAATGAAAAATAAAATCAAATGTTTATTTGAATATAAAAGAAACGTCGCGATTCGGTCGGTAACTCGAAACGAGATAGAGGAGGAGGAGGAGGAGGAGGAGACGGAAGGTGGGGGGAAACGGTGGGTTGGGGGGGTAGTTAATCTTCGTCAACATCAGCAGATGGTAAGAGGAATGGGCGAGGGGTAGGAAACAAGTAGAATTAAATTCCTTCGGATGCCCTTCGACGTTTGCTCGGCTTTATCGATGCCAAAATATCATTGGCGTTGCGGCACGCTTGGCTACCGTTCAAAAACGAAGCTAAATCTCAGCTTCTTCGTATTTTCCCTCCTCCCACCAGGTTTTCTTAGTTAGACCGAGACGCGACGTTTTCTCTTATCGCGATTCCGGTTAGGCACGTGTCTCTACCCCGACGAACGAACCGAAACGGTTAGAAAAAGATAGATAAATAGAGATAGATAGATAGATAGAGATAAAAGAGGGGAAGAAAGAAAATGTAAAAAAGAAAAAAGAAAAAGGATAAGAAGCTTCGGATAAACTCACCCTAGCAGCGATGGAAGTGGTTGGCTTCTCGAGAAGATCCCAGAGCCACTTTTGATACTGCGCGCATTGTCCCTCACCAAACTCCTCTTCCTCCCTCTGCCTGAGAGACTCGGCCTCTTTGCGCATCTCCTCGTGAACGTGCTCCTTTCGTTGATGATATTTATGCTGGCAACAACTTTCCAAGTATAGCTCGTCTACACCCCAATACTCGAGATCGTCGCTAAACGCTAAAACGCACATCTCGTCTACGAGATGTAATTTGCCGGTACGATAAAAATTGAGAATCGAACTAAATGATTTGGGATGCCGATCGAAGAAGTATTCGTTATCGATGAGGGAATAGTCGTCGCAGAGTTCGGTGATCGCCTCGTGGGTATTGCAATCGCGGAGACGTCCGAGCCGAGTGTGCGGTAACCTCTCGAGGGTACGCCATAGAACTTCGTGCTTGACCCCACCGACGTTGATCGAGACCCGCCGATTGAGAGCCTTAGAACGCATTATCATGAACGGTTCCGGCGGTAGAGACGTCATCGACCTCGAAAAGGCACGCTGCTGCTGCATCTGCAGCGGCAGGGGCGGCAGTGGCGGTGGTGCTGGCGGTCCTCCCGAACTTTGTTGCACCACCTGACCCTGTTGCAATTGTAGTTGTTGCTGCTGCTGCTGTTGTTGCTGATGTTGCAGTATCGAGACTTGTCCCGTTTGAACTAAGGCCCCACCAACGGTAGCCGCCGGCGGCGTGGCCGGTGGCGGAACCGAAATCGTTGGTTTCAGCCCGCCGACCCCCAACGGGATTCCCGATGGAATAGCCGACGGAATAGCCGACGGAATAGCCGGTGAAAGTGCCGAGGACGATAGAACGCCCGGTGAAAGTGCCGAGGACGATAGAACGCCCGGTGATATGCCCGCCGTTAATACCGAACCAACGTTCGTTGGCGCGTATCGAACTTCCTTTGGATAAGTTGAGCCGGGGCGTTCGCCGGTGTTGCAACCAGTAGTACCAGTACCCATGACCACCACGGCTCCGACCGCCGATGGGGCCTGATTTCCTGTGCAAAAACCTCCGCCACCTACCGCCGCGGTAGCTGCGCGGCGTAAACTCGTCGCCGTCGTCGTCGTTGTCATCGTTGTCATTGTCGCCCTCGTACCAACCCCCTCGAAGGTGAATCCTTGATCGTTACCGGCACTAGCAACGCTTCCAATTCCATAGCTTGGTATCGCATACGACGACGACGACGACGACGACGACAACACCACTACCGGCCCTGACGGAACCCCATTGCTGCGGCGCTCACCCTCCGTCGCCAGTGCGTCACTTTCGAACCTCTTGTCGCTTAACATCGGCTGAATACGTCAACCCTGACAGGTAGATTTGATTTCGATTTTGACGACGACGACGATGACGACAATGACGACGACGACGACGACGACGACGACGACGACGACGACGACGACAACAACAACGACAACGACAACGACAACGAGGACGATAACCAAAAAAATAACCGAAACAATTTGTCTACTCCTACTTCTACCCCAATCCCTCCTCCTCCTCCTCCGCCTCCGCCGCCGCCTCCTCCCCCGCCCCTCCTCCTCCTCCTCCTCCTCCGCCGCCGCTCCTTCGCTACCTCTTCGCCCTGTCCCTCTTGAATTTCTTCTTCTTCTTCTTCTTCCTCTGATTCGTCCTCCTCCTCCGCAACAACGTTACCCCTCGTCCGCTTCATCCGCCCCTCCGTCGATCCTCCACCTTCGACTCGCTCGCTACGAGCCACCCAGTCGTCATCTGTAAACCATCAAAACAACATCCTCTTACTTAACTCATATGTAGGTAAAATAGTCGGAGGTTAATCTAAAAGCCCAAAATCGATTTTGAATTTCACTTCGCTCATCCATCTAATTTCATTTCATTTCATCTCATCTCAATCTTCGTCTCTTTTCTCACCTTTCGTGCAAGTTTATTTACAAAGAATCACTCCTTACCATCTCTCCTTCGACAATCTCCACTACCACCACCCACCCACCATATACGATATTATCGTTCGAGACGTAACGGGGCCAGATTTCGTGAACGATACAACAATCCCCGCAAGCATAACTATTTTCGTATATAACGATTAAAACGGTCGAGTCTGTTACAGATTACGAGCGTTCCTCTTAAGAATTTAACATGTGATCTAATTCCACGTGGGAGAGATAAAAGACAAAGAGAAAAAAAAAAAAGAGAATATAAAAACAACTTTCGTACCTGGAGAAAGATAAAAAGAAACAGCCTTCACGCCACGAATAATCGTAGAAAATTTCACGCTGTCATATTAGAAGAATCTACTCGAACAGTTACATTTATACATTTCTTTGAAGGTTACTAAACTCTGACCCAAATTCTATCGTAAAGCACCTGTCCCAATGATCAATAAGAGATCCCACGTGTTGTTCTCATCGACCATTAAAAAAGAAAAGAAAGGAAAAAAATGGAAGATGAAAGAAGAATAAAATGATCGTCTGCTTTATTGCCAACTTTAAAACAGCAAAAGGAAAAAAAAAGAACTTATATATATACATACACATCCTGACTCGGAAATTTCCTATTCTCAGAACGTCGAGATCTAATGAATCGATGCCGTTCTATTTCGAGAACTTTTATCGGCAGAACGTAAACTTCTGTCCGCGCGAGTACTGTAAATAGTCCAACGGGTAACCCCCTTGACCACCAAAATGTAATATTGTTTTAGCCAAGAGAACACGTTTCCTCGATTTAGAAACTTCCTTTATTCTTATTACCTTCGATCAAACTTTTTCTTTCTTTTTTTTTATGTTTTACACTCACGCACGCGCGCGCACGCAAAAGTTAAATTATATAAAATATAAATGTCTTTTTTTGTTTATTCCCAATCCTTCTCGAATTTTATTCTAAAGGGTCTATTAAACGGTAATAACGTTATTTCGCAAGGTGGTTTTTACTCGGATCGATCGAGCTCGAACGTGGGGCTAGAAATTCGTTCGTAGAAAAGGTCTCCCCGATATCGCGCATTAACATTGCAACCTAATTATTTACTTAAAATAAATGGACTAACGAAAATCCAATAAGAATATTTTCGTCCTTTTTAGATAAATGTATATGATATTCAAGTAGAGAACAAACAGTATAATATCTTTCAAGTTTCTAATCGATATGCAAAATAGCTTGACATCATTTCGATAACCATAAACATTGACAAATATTTTTCCTAGAGAAACGTGACTTTATTTTTTATCTCTTCTAGTTATTCCACTCGGAGCCAAGAGGACTCGTACAACGAGAATACATGAATATGATATCTGGGTAACTCCCTGTCGACGAGTAAACGAGCCTCTTATGAGGAATACACGAAAGAGTGAGAGAGCATGAGATGTGTGGGAGGAGGCGGAGGAGAGGCAGAAATAAATCGATTTTTTATCCCACAGTGACCTAGCTAGCCAGCGTGTCGCAAATACACTTGGCGGCACGTACAAAATGCTTAAGGATGCAGAACCCCGAGGATGCGCCCAGCATGCATCTTTTTATTTCAAAGGGAGGGGGTTGGGATGAGGATAGGTGGAGTGCGATGATAGTGCACCCCGCCCAAGTACTTCCCTCGCGAAGTAATCCAAAAGGTATTCAAAGAGAGAAAGAGAAAAGCAGCATCCAAGAGATCCTGAGCTTTTTAATGAGTACAAATCCCCCACTACTTTCTGCCACTCATCAACTAGGATGTCTTTAAGAAGATTTCCTCTTTCACCTTACAAACAAACAAAATACCAAACATGCATATCTTTTCTTTACGTAATTTGCTAATTATATAGGCGCATGTATGTACGTGCCAACCGATCGATGACGATCGGTTTCTTTCAAAATGATATTATACAAAATGTTATTGAGGGATATAAGACGATCGATTATTATTATCTGCAACTGTCGATTATCTTGAATTATTTTCCTTTTTTTTTCTTTTTTTTTTCTTGTTAAATTATAAGAAATTATATTCGACCGTTCGTCCTTAAAAACATGATTATCGAACGATCATTAAAAGTCGAGACACAATTGGTATGAAATATTTCTACTTATCTGTCTTCTTCCATCTTGAATATAATTCATTCGAAATTTAATGGTAGTGTATTGTTGAAGCGATATTTGTGTTCGTGACATATTCTCATTTCCTTTTTCTCTTCTCTCTCTCTCTCTCTCTCTCTCTCTCTCTTTCGTTCATTCGAATACGTTAAAGTCAAGCATCATATCGATTAGATTCATTATTCCTCCCAAGTTATTTCCCCCGATCGATCAGGAAAAACCAATCCCTTCCCATTTTAATTATTATTCTCGTATTTTCAAAACTAAACGCTACAAACTAAAAGTTAGCCCTCGACGTTCTATTTAATAAACTGTAAAACAAACAAACTCCATAGAAACCAAATTGCTTCCTCCCTCTTGCTTTAACCTGACACACAACTATCATATCCCATAAACCCTACGATTGTAGAAACAAAAGAATATCGTAGTTGGATAGATCGATTCAATACATTTATGTATATGTGTGCCGTTTGAAAAGTTCACCGAAATGACATCCAATTTAAAAGCCCTAATTTACATGATCGTTTCGTTGTTCGCAAGTAAAGTACTAGATGGAAAACGAGATGATCTCAAGTGGCTCGCAAATTACACTAAAAGCAAACAGACTGTCCAACAAAGTCCGCCAAACGATCGGACGTGCTTTTAACTTTGGCTCCGAGATCGAATTTATAACGCTTTACAACGTTTCGTTTACTTTCCTCTCTCTCTCGCTCTTATTCTTTCTCACTCTTTCCACTTACCACACACACGCACACACACACGCTCTCTCATTCTCTCTATCTCTCTTTTAGACTCTCTTTTAAAGTGTATATCACTTTGAAATGAAAAGAAGAAAACGTTAGAAAGCTATACACTAAGTAAGTAAATATTAAAAATGGTTGACTACTGTCGTCTATGATACGGTGCAAAAATAATTTACAAACTTACTTACGTACGTAGTTATTATTGCAATTATATTAGTGGTATATTATTTTACTTTTACACGAAAGAAGACTATTTTATTACGGTAATAAAGAAGTAGAGAATTTTCAAAGTGGTGTACTGTTACTACTATCATATACGATATTTCGTTAAAATATTAACTTGCAAATTTTGCGTACGTAATACTACTCTCATTAGAATCGAAATCACTTTGAAATAAAACAAATAAAATGTTGCAAAGATAATAACGAGGTAGTACAATTTTCAAAATGGTGGACTACCGTCACGGACTATATAGAAAAAAGATATCCCCAGAAAGTTGTAGGAGTAAACGTTTGTTATTGCAAGTCGTATTAGTAATATCCAAAAGTATGTATAAAATTCGAGAGCACGAACAATAATACAATATCATCCTCTTTGCATGTCGCAACCTACTTTCTTGGCCAGTTAGAATTTCGAGAAAATATAACGTCAGCTCTCTGCCGTTGGCTTTTAGTAAGCCAAGGCTCGGCCTTTGACAAAGATATCATTTTCGAAATCATCCGGGATTATTAGAATACCAGAGTTTTTATCATTTCCACAATTTTATTTTTTACTTGCATTTTATTATTACTCTCATATTTTCAAAAGCACATTTCTAACGAAAATTTAGCACTCATTGTTCCATTAAACTGTGTCGAAAATAAACGAAAAACACCATAGAAATCAATTCGATTTTTCTCTCTGTTTCTCTTTCTGTTTCTAGGTCCACTTGACTGTATAAATCGATTACTCGAACTTAATATCGAACACTGTACTATTCCCTTCTCTCTCTTACTCTCTGCCTTCATGTCTATATAATTGATTATAGGTACGCACACGAATCGGAAAACCTTGACAAATCGAGAATTGGAAAGAGAAGTTAAATGAGATAGAACACACTATTCCAGTGTTCGGCTCAGCATGTAATACATTATCCTGAGCCCCCTAGGACGAACTCAAGAGTCAAAAAAGAAGAAGAAGAAAAAAAAAATATAGATACAAAGTTTCCCGAAAAAACTTAATTTAACATTTTGTTGACGCGACATGATCGAAAAGTTTTCTCACGATCGATCTATCTTGAACACCACTGTTATCTCTCTTGACAATAATCCAACGTTTCATGGATTTCTTCAACTATCACGCACCAGAAAACCCTCGACCAAAAAAGATACAGGAAGAATATATATATATATATAATAGAAGAAAAAAAGGAATAAGGATGAAAGGGGGGAAAAAAAAGATCGTTTGAATCATTGCAGTCGTCGTGTTTTAGCATCGTCGTGTTTTAGCTTTGGTTTGCCGTACGCACGAGAAGGCAGAGCTACAATACGGAAATAGCCGAAAGAAAGAAAGAAAGAGAGAGAAGGAAAGAGAGAAAGAGAGAAGGAGGATAGTTAGATAGATAGAGAGAGAAGAGTCGACGTCGTCTTCGCGTACTTAGGAAATTTTTGCGACTCACCTCTTCTCGTTCAAGCATAGCAGTCACCGTTCGTCGTCCGAGAAAAGAGCGGGACCGGCGCCACAATCAACTGCATTTCCTTGATTTCCTTTCGATTAATGTACCAATTATTACAATCCTTTTGACAATTCCAATATCATTTAAATATATATGTATATGTATTTGTTAATAATAATAATCTCGAAAAAAAGGTTGTTTTCTGGAGGATAATGAATCTTCTTGAATGGAATCCTTTGATGAATGAATTTAAAGTGACTCCTCGTCCTTGTTCAATGTATATTTTCTTCTTCTTCTTATTATTCTGCTGCTCTTCTTCTTCTTCTTCTTCTCGTTCTCTTTCCTCCTGTTCGGATCCTTGGAGAGAGACAGCCTAATGTAGCGACGACGACGAAGAGGAGGACGACGACGACGCTCGACTGGTGCCTGCTCCTCTGCCACTTGTTTCACAGGCGAGCGCTGCGATCGACGTTCCTCGCGTCTCGTCTATCGATTAAACGCCGCTTAAGATGACCCTTCTTGCCCTCTTTGGCACAAGGACCGCGAAAAGCGCCGCGAGTCTATATATCAGCTATAGAACCCTATAGTACAAACATTTCTTTTTTTTCTTTTCACCCGATCGAAGTTTTTTCTCCTCTCTCAAGAAAAAGTTATCGTCAACATCGTTCCCGATTCGCTAAAGATAAATTTCTCTTTCTAAAGATATGCATGTATGTGGATAAAAAAACGAGAAAGAGAGGGAAAGAGATAGAGAGAGAGAGAGAGAGAGAGAGAGAGAGAGAGAGAGAGAGAATTTGAATGTAGAATAAGAAATAAGTTAGGCGCCAAGAAACCCGATGTAGCACGCTGCTGATACTGCTGATGTCGATGCGATACTACTACTACTGCTAATACTAATACATTATTACACTAGTATTACTAATACTATTACAAGCTACCGTCTTCGCTAACGGCGGAGGTGGTGGTGATGCTGCTACTGCTATTACTGATGACGGTAGCGATACTGGTGCGATGATGCTGGTAGCGGGTGTTGTGGTGGTGGTGGTGCTACTTCAGTTACTATAACTGCTGCCATCTCCGACAGAGACATTACTTGGATGAAAGCCAGCTGTGCGCGTGCCTCGAAGATTATCCTAAACGGCAAACCCTACGCATCTTCCTTTGCTGGTGTCACACTCGCCCCCGCCCCCCACCCTATCTCCGTCCATCTCTAACAGCATTTTTCGATCATTCGACACGGTAACGATGCGTTGTTTTTATTAGAAATGCGTTTATTCTTTTTATTGAATCACAAATCATCATAGTCATGCGAATTAATGGATACTACTGTTCTTTTACTTCTTCCGAATACATTTTTGTATATCTCTAATGATATATTTACATTTAATCTAAAGGACGATTTAAATTATTGCGTAAAAAATATCTTAGGAAGTAATATAAAATCGTAAAATATATTTATTTAACTTCAACATATTATGTTCTCCATGTAACTCGTACGTCGTCGGTTCTATACCTTTGTATACAAGTCGTCTCGTTCCAAGGAGTTCGACCATCTGTCTTATACTGTAATAATCCCGCAACGGCGATCATAACGCCATTGTCAATGCAAAATCTTTCATCAGTTGCATACAATTTTGCATTTCTCTCTTTACACATGATAGACATCATTTCTTGTAGCCTTTCATTACATCCAACACCGCCCACAATTAATACTTCATTTGCTCCCACATGAGCCATTGCTCTTTCTATAATCATTAGTTTGTTAGATTAGATAAATAGTGAAAACAATGATACAACTGTACATAATTAACTGTAAGCTTACTTAATTTAAAAATATTAAAAATATGTTATTCGCTTACCAGTGATTTCTATTAACATGGCAAAAACAGTTTCTTGCAACGAAAAGCACAAGTCTTCGGGTGTATATTCTTCCTTCTTGATCCACGTAGAAAGATGTTCTTCGATATGACTTAATATCCCAGAAAAGGATACGTCCATTCCTTTAACCACATATGGTAACGGAGCCAACTTCTTTCCCCTTTTTACATCCATGAAATTTTACAAGTTTCCATCGTGTCAAATATGTCTGATGATCTTTACAAACGGATTACGTTTAAAGATCTTCATTTCACAAGATAAAGCTAAAAAGTTATTCATTAAAACTTACTTCTTCGCAAATTGTTCAATATTGTATCCAGGACTAGGATCGTTGGAAAGCATTAACAATCTTGCAAAGCGATCTAGGCAGTTGCCAACAGCAATGTCTATTGTTTCACCAAATATACGATACTTTTGACGAGAGTATGCAATAATTTGTGTATTCCCACCCGATACGTACAAGACAGTTGGATTTTTACTACCAGTAATTAACCGACCCATTTCAATATGACCAACGCAATGATTGACCGCAACAATTGGTTTGTTGTAAAGTTGAGCCATTGTACGAGCCACTAATGCAGCAACTGTTAAAGGGCCGCCCATTCCTGGCCCCTTCGTATAACATATCACGTCGACCTCTTTCATAGTAATTTTGGCATTATTCAATGCTTCTTTAAGAACCTCGATTATACATTTTCGATGATGCTCCGCAGTCTCGCGTGGTAAAAATCCTTGTCACGAAAAATATACAATTATTTGTTTATTCACTTAATTCAGGGGAATGTTAATAAAATAATATATTAAGTTATATTTACCTTCTCCCGGTGGTGTGATATAAGTACGTCGTACATTGGATAAAACCTCATCGTCACGTATAACCCCAATACCTAATTTATTCGCACTACCCTCGAAACCTATGGCAATCACCATTTTGCTATTTGTTTTTTAATATTTACCAATAAAATTAATAAAACGAAAACTTTCATACTCCGAAATAAGTCCTATAGGCGTATATACGTTTGACCAATAAGAAACGTTTAATAGAAATCACCAATGAGAAGACGTATCTGACTGAACCAATAAGAACGATTGAATATTTACATGGAGAATAGGCACGTCGCTGATTAGACGAAAGTTTCATTCCTGTCGAGATTGATCAATCAGAATACGACTTGGCTTGACGCCATTACGAATAATATTACTAATGCATCAAAAGAGTTAGTAAGAATAAGTTACATACGCGTCCACATTTTGGACAGTTAAGAGAACGACGTATTTTCACGATCTCCATTATAGGAATACAACGTCTAACGCGGAAGTGTTTCGTGACGAGATTTTGTGCTGGAAAAATGCAAATTATCGAGTTGCCGGGTTAAGAAAAGTGAGTGTCGTCGTTAGTACAAATGTATCTTCAACAAAGTCCGGTGATCGCGGTGATACGAAAATATCGAAGGAAGTAGGGTCGTGGTCCGGCGAATGGCCGATTGATTTTCAAGGTGATAGCCATCTGACGCGAGCGGATGAACGGCTTTGACGCTTCGGTACGAATAAAAAAAAATAGAAAAAAACGCAGCCTACGAAGTGTGCTGGCGCGAGAAAGTCGTTCCGGTTTCGGTTTTCTATTTCTAAAAAATTAAACATATATATATATATATATATACACACTCTCACACAAATGATGTATGTGTGTATGTATATATAAAAAAAACTAAATACGTAGTGCAATTGTCGCGCTAAATCGGTATGTAAAAATAAGAAAGAAAAATATCGGAGTGTGCGAATCGGTGTGTATTGCCACCAGCGCGCAACAAAAATAAAAAAAAAGGAAAGTTGGAAGGAGAAGTGAGAGAAGCCGAGCTTCGCTTACGCGTTCGTGGGAATTAAATTACAACGAAAAAGAAAGAAAGAAGTAAGGAGAGCTAAGGAGGCAGAAGAACGTGGTATTATATATATGTATATGTATATGTGTGTTATATATACATATATTATACATATATATGTGTGTGTGCGTATATATAATATATATACACACACCACTCCTTCCCACTCTTCGGCAATCGTCGTGAGTCGTCGTAGAGTCTAAGAACTGTCCTAGGGATATTTGCGGTTCGTGTTCTCATTCGTTCGTTAATTGGTTGGTTGGTTCTCTTCGTAGGTACCATGACCGAAACGGTGTCGCGATTTAACCGGTCGCGAGATCGCGAGACGTCCTTGACGTATCGTCATTATTCGTCCATTCTTTCCCTTGAGAAGGGAGGGAAGGAAAAAAGAACGCGTGCGGTCGTTCTATCACCATCTTAACGAAAAATGTCATGGTCGTATGACTATTCGAGAGAAAAAAAAGAGAAATGGTATCGTCGCGATGATGAGTTCGGACGGTGATTACGGTTAAATCCTCGCATATAATTGACAACGACACGACACGACACGACGTGACGACGAGCGAGCCCGCCGTGAGTCGCGCGCTCGTACGGTGCGGTTGCGCGCGCACGCACACGCGCATGCGCCGGCCGCGGCAGAGCTGCACTCGTAGTGCAAGTTCGACGGTCGTAATAGCGGTCGGACGGTGACTATGGGGGCGTCAATGGCGGCGGCAATAGATATGGTAAACAACACACCAAAGGATGATGACGATGATGATGATATATATGACTTGTCGTATTATCCTTCTCGTTGATGATGATGACCAAGATAATGCGCGCTCGTTCTCTAACGACAATGCATTCATTCTTCCTAGACTACTTTTTCTCCATCCGTTCGTCCATACGCTTGCTCATAAGTCAGTCCGTCTGTCCGTTCGTCCGTCTGTCCGTCCGTCCGTTTTTCCGTTCGCTTGTGCGATGTATAAAACCGCGCGTGCATCGTTATATGGATCGTGGATCGAAGCGTACCACACGATTCTGGACATGCGGAGAGAGTGGCGATGGTAAGGCATCGCGTACGGGTGACACGTCTACCAAAAGAAAAGAAAAGAAAAGAAAAGATAATTCAATTTAAAAAAAAAAATCATAATATAAAAGTATATATATAAAAAAAAGTCATAAATAAAACTTCGGATATATTGTGGATCTCGCGACTCATCATCCTCTACTACTTCTTCTTCTTCTTCTTCTTCTTCTTCATAGTTCTATCATTGTTAAACGAGACGAAGCGCCATCGCGCTTCGCGAATACACTAACTTTCTTCCTACCGCTTTGACTCAGCCCAAGATGATACCGACTTGCTGCGTATATTTTTTCACGTAGGACAGTCAACCCTTTAGGCAACCCAGCGCTAAGAGACGAGCATCGGTAACTTTCGAGATTTGAGGGAGATTAAATCGACATATTGGTTGCTGCTGTACAAAAATACTGCTGTTATTTAACTTTGGGATCTAAACCTGTATTCTACTCTGACTGAGATTTCGTAAGAAGGATCAAGGGAATCGTCCTGTTGAATTGATTTTCCATCCAAAAGTATTCTTGAATACAGGTAAATCTATTCTCAATTGGATCTTACATATTTGTTATTAACGTATGTTAATCAACGTCATGACAAATACCGAATATGAAATATTTAAATGGTATCTCTCTATCGTCAGTAATGTCACGAGACTATGATAGAAGAAGAGGAGGCGGCGGGAGCAGTAGCAGCTCGAGCAAACTTAGGATGGACACTAGCGTATCCCAGACAAGACCGCACGGTGAAAGTTCGAGCAAAAGGAGGGAATTAGATACCGTCATGCGAAAAGCTCGTGAGTCTCAGTCGAGCTATTGGAATAAAAAACTTTTGGAAGTAGAAGAACGTGATCCGAATAGATGGCGACACAGTGGATATAAAGAACTTTATGTCGGAGGTACATCAACTGGAGAACCAAGCAGAAGTCATCCACGTAGTCCGAGAAGCCCAAGACCAAGAAGTCCTCACAGCCCACGACCACGTAGTCCGCGTGCTAGAAGCCCTAGGTCACCACGAGATCGTTCTCATACAAGAGGAAGAGCTGCGAGAAGTCCTAGTACAGGAAGCACCTGCTCGGACAGATCATGCTCCGTTTGTTCGCCTAAGGAACGTCGTCGTATTGCACCACCGTCTCGTTCGCGTTCAAGATCAATTACCCCGATACGCGCGCGTCCACATCCCAAAGAGGTCGTACCTTCGAGTTCACGTGCTATACCACCTCGAACCAGACCGAGGTCGCCGCCTCTACCGCGTCCTAGAACACCCCCACCAGCTCCTCAACCTCCTCCGAGACATCAAAAGGATTATAAAGCTTTGAAAGAAAAAGAAGCTAAGGTTAGACGCAAGGAGAAACATCATGGCAGGTTACCAGAAGATCCACGTGTTCCAGATCCTATACCATTGGTATATTTCCTTTATATATTTCTACCTCTATTATTATTTGCTAATTCGACGATTCTTCTATGCATGTGTTGTAATGTTGTAACACACAACGGCAGCTGTAACGGTAGCTTGTTTCTTCGTTCAAACTTCTATTATAGGATATATTTCTAATATTATTACATCCTTTCGTTTTATATATTGTACAGATGCGCAAACCTGTTAAAGTAGAAAAAACACATTCAAGTCATGGAGCACCACCGATGATGCGACAGCCTCCGGATTCGTCACCTAGTGAAGACAGTGACAGTTCATCTGCAACATCGCATACAGGACCACCAAGAATGACGCTTTCCGAACGGTATATGTTCAATAACAATTATATTTCGTCAATAACATTTAAATAGAAAAAAGATCATTAATCAAAGTATTACATTTATTTTCATAGATTTGGTAAAATGGCTCAATGGAGCGTAGATCGGAGAGATATGGAAAATATGCGTATCACTAAAGACGGGGAGAATGCTATGAAAGTAGTAATAGAGGGTGAAGAAAGAATTGCTAGATTGGGTTACGAGTCTCCACCTCCAGGACATTATCCTGAATCGTTGTTAGCCCAAGGACCAAGAGGTTTGGAATGTTGGGACGATGTTAGAGTTCGATACGATTATTATAAAGCAAGAGGATATTTACGTGACCTCACATTAGACGACTACATCAAATGGGAGGAATGGTGGTACAAATACCAAGAATGGTTAGAGGCTGAACGATATTATGAACAATGGGCCTCTTCCAATCGTGCTTCCGGAGGAGGTCGCAAAAGGCGTGGACGACGAAATAATGCCGCTCATTAAACGACATAAAAACAAAACAAATAAATATACATATAAATATATATATATATAATAATATTAAAACAGTAATGATAATAAATAATATAAAAAAAGAGAAGAAAACAAATCGATTACTATATTACCGCGGTACAAGCTTGTTTTAGATTCTGTTAAACGGAATCTTTCTGTCATCGACATATGTATACATGTGATGTTTCTGATTATTTACACAAAACACGTATATTAAATATTTACGTTATATGCTTACGAGTTTTTAGGGCTCTACTCTGTGGTAAGCCTTTCGTTTTAATAATAGAAATATAGGAGACGAATTGTAAAAGAGGAAAAAAAACAAAAAAGTCATGATCATTAACCAAAACTATTATTTTCGTTATTTCTTTTTCTCTCTTTTTTTTCTTATTTTCTAAACATCCCTTTGAATTGATACCAAATAGTATTTACATCGTGGAATACAATTATTGATTTTTGCTCTAAGAAGTTTTATATACTTTGTATTTCTGATTGTTCTCTATATAAATATGTTACGTAAATAAGAACGTGGTAATTTAATTTTGTTACCTTTTTTATGAAGGATTTATTACAAAATTGAAATTATTGGATAAATCAACCCTTTCATTATTAACGACCGAACAGGAATTGACGATAGCCACGTATGAGCTAATTTATATGGAACACAATACTATTCACCTCAAAGCAATCGAAAAATGTTGCTATTCCATAAAAATAAAAAAACAATATAATTACTACCAATGAATAGCTCAATTTAAATATTACGTTTTAAAAATAGCGCACAATTTTTTCGACCAATGATTTTAGTTTAAAGTAAAGAATATTTTGTGTACAGTTTGGCAACACTGAAAAATGTTGACTGAAGTAGTAGGGGTTATCCGGTTGCCACCGCGCAGCTTCTCTTTCCGTCCTTTACATCGAGTAAATCGTCGTGCGTAGACTTAGAGAGCCATTCTTTCTAAAATCTATTAACATCTGAGTTAATTGTACAAGTTGTTATAAATAAATAGACAAAATGCCTCCCAAATTCGATCCCAATGAAATTAAGAAAGGTATTTAACCTATAAACCTATTATAAAATATTTCTAAAAAGTGTTAAAAATTAAAAAATATTAACAAAAAAATAATTTCTTTAGTTTACTTAAGATGCGTTGGTGGTGAAGTTGGAGCAACCTCGTCTCTCGCTCCTAAAATTGGTCCTCTCGGTTTGGTAAGCTATAAGAAAAAGCAAAATCAATTTTAATGCAAAAATAAGCACATGTTCGTCGAGTCTTGTTTTCCTAACCAAATTTAAATTACAGTCGCCGAAAAAAGTTGGTGATGATATCGCCAAAGCTACCAGCGACTGGAAAGGTTTAAAAATTACAGTACAACTGACCATTCAAAACAGACAAGCTACCATCTCGGTGGTTCCATCCGCTGCTTCTTTGGTTATCAAGGCGCTCAAAGAACCACCAAGAGATAGGAAAAGGCAAAAAAATATTAAGCACAGTGGTAATTTATCTTTCGATGATATTGTTTCCATTGCTCGTGCTATGAGACAAAGATCAATGTCTAGACAACTCAGCGGCACCGTTAAAGAAATTCTTGGAACATGCCAATCGGTTGGTTGCACTGTTGAAGGCAGACCTCCTCATGATCTTATTGACGACATCAATAACGGACTAATGGAAGTTGAAGAATGATTTAGTAAGTATAGGGTCCATTACTCACACTTTTCGTTATAATATTCATAAAGAATTAGTATATTGAATAATTGAATTCTTTCAATTTGAGACATAAATTTAAATGCATTATTAATGTATATTATAATATCGTAAAGAAAAGTGTTAGTTTGGACTCTTGGTAGGGGTTGGCATCCCATCCGCCTGATTGGTATTTACTTTCTTACAAAATTAAATATCGACTGGTATCTTAGCCATTGAGGAGAAAACCTCATTAAAAAAATCATGTCTTCTATATACAAAATGATATACTTTTGAAATTGTTTATTGTATCGTATTAAGCATCGTGTATTGCTCTTCTTTTCAGGTTTGTCATAAGGCATTGGAAATATAAAAAATATAAAAAACATTTTTTCTATTTATTAGACATTTATTTCCATAATTATCCTATTACTTCTTTTAAAAAACACAACTACATCCTTTGTATTATCTTGTAACTTTTGTATATCTCTGTACAGAAAAGCTTAATCGGTAAAAGAATTTACGAATGAAATATTTCTTTCTTTCTTTATGTACAAGGAAAATTTCACAATGCTATGAATTATGCTAATAAGCAAGATCGTAATTTTCATTTCATTTCTTCTTTTTTTCACTAGTTATCATTAAATTATTCATGAAAATGTACAGAAACTAATTACATTTACGAAGTACGGTAAATTGTATATATATATTTTGTTGGAATATTATTATGGAATACTTATTTTGTAAATTATAAAAGTACATTATAAAAAAAACATTTGGATACATATGTTCGACCATAAAGATAGATAGTTTTATCGATGCGTTAAATTTTAGATATGATTTTTTTTAATTTTTTTGCAATTATATCTTTTTACCTGTCTTTGTTAATCGATCACAATTTCAATCGGTTGAATTAATGTTCTTACGTATATCATACAATTGTTAATATTCAAAGATTTACAGGTGACAGTAAATTGAGTCAATTATAATCTGATAATATGTTTTGATAACATTAAAGTGATATCTTTTTTGTTATATATATATATATTTTTTTTTTTAAATAGATTAAACTACTGTCCTAGTACTTGGCCTCTTCCCCAGTTGTGACCACCAAATATATTTCTAGCTTGTTGTTGTTGTTGTTGTTGTTGTTGTTGACCAGCAGGCCTTTGCGTAGGCGCATTACCAAACCATCGAATTCCACCTCTCTGGGGTGGAAAATAAGTCTCCAAAATTTTTGGAGTAACCAGCCAATCTGTGCCTCCAAGTTCTTGAGGATATTTAAATTTAAAGAATACGTAGATATGACCAATTAATATACCATAGAGCTCCATTATACCACCACCAGAAATGATTAAATTAAATCCAAACAATACCCATGGCAAATACATTGCTTTAAATCTTGTACCTGTTAACAAATCAATAATAAAAATATCATTTTTACTATCAGCTTATTACAATAAATGAATATGCAGGTATATTAACCCCTTGTGTTATAACAACGTGTGAGATGCCGTTACAGACATCGTATTACAATATGCTTTTGTTTATGCAAACATAAAAAGCACTGAATGCAGCATGCAATTCAGCACGTTAAACCATATCACGAGGAGTTAATAACTGTAAGATAATAATAGACAATTAGTGTAGATAAATGAATAATTATAATAACGTAAAACGTACCCAACCAAAAGTTAACGATAGCATCTTTATTAAGTTGACACCAAACATATAAGACACTCAATACCATAGGATCCATGAGTAATGGAAAACCGCTAATGAATCCTAATATAACGCAGCATAACCAATTGAACAATAGCATGAAAAAATAATCGGCTGGTCTTCCATCATATTCAACGCGTTCCAATCTCAATGAGTAATTATAGAGAAAATACAAATTAAGCAAAAAGTGAAATCCTCCAGGGCTCATAGGATAAAAAAAAACACTGGTAAATGGTCTCCAAATTTCAAAATTGTTTATAAATCGATCGTACGATAATACAAGTGTGGATGCCTGCACTAAACCAAATCTGCCGATTAATGACAAACTAACCGTAAACATTAACCAATATCTCGTAAATATTGGCAAAGAATTGAACCAGTCTCTCACGTCTGACATTTTGTTTTTGTTTTCTTTTTTGTTTTTTCTAATTATCAATACTTTCAATGAGTTGAACGGTTTAATTCACTGCAAAATACACTGTGTTCTTTTTATCTATGACTTTTTACTAGCTAAGGCTGACGTGTGATTATTTTATAAGACCTGATGCGACCTTACTTTGCGTTTCATATTTGCACATTATAGGTTAGAATAAAAAAGGTAAGGGTAGGTTTTCAAAGTATGCTGTCCAACGACACTATATATTGTATATAATATATTGTTATTCCACATCGACAATTCGACAGCTAAGTCAAAGACCTCTCTCTTTATTTCGATTATCGATAATCGAATAACGATATTGACGACTATTTAAATATTAAAAGAATTTAAATTATTCATCTTCACATATTTTTCAAATTTTATTTCTCAAGATTTCCATTTGCTTTTTTTTCGAGATAAACAATTTTTGTATTTTTATTCAACAAGAAATGAACCCGTCAGAGAGTTCCGGAAGATGGGTGCGTCAGAGAGTTCCAGAAAACCATTTGTTACATGGGCTTACATGAAATTTATTAAAAATGTTATATGGAAATAATATTATATACTTATATACAATAGCTAGTTTATTCTATCACATTTTTGTGTATGCAATACGAGTATAATTATAAAACAATCACATATTTATTTTATTTTCTTTTTATCATAAACATATACATACCCATATCATTTTATAAACAAACAATATGTATGCTTAATAATAATATCTATGGAACTACAAAAATTGATGTTAATTGTACATATGAGACACAATGTTTCTTTCTTATCATTTTCTCTTTTTCTTTTACTTTCTTTCCCTTTTTTGTTTTTTAATTATATACTAATTTCATATTATTATTATTATTATTATAAATAATAATTAGCTTATTACGACATCAAATGTGTTTTTGTTTGAGAACTGTATATGATGGATGTTTATAATACAAGTATCATGACAATTTACACATAATTATTTATTTGTTTTGTTTGTTTGTGTGTTCATTTATCTCACCTAATGAAGAGAGTGTTCGTTTAATCATAGACATTAGTTTCATAAATTATTCAGATTATTAGAGTGATTCTCTGTTCCAGACATTGTTGGAGAAATCCGCTTTCCTTTTCTTTGCTTGGCTTTTTGTTTTGGTGTTCTGGGGGACTTATCTAGAAAAAGTGTCTATAAAATATTCTTTCCGATAAATCAATACAACCAATTCAATGTCTATGCTTATTCTTTTTGTAAATGACATTTCTTTCTTTGATGTCATTGAAAGTGCGTGGCGGATTTAAAGTTTCAGATGATTTATTGCGTGATCCCGTACTCCTGTACTTACTGAGGGCATGAAGAGTTTCCTTTGGTAACCAATCGTAATCTACGTTATTAGGATTAGACGTTCCCATTTCTATAGGCGCCTTGCGTGTTGTGGAAGAACGAGATTTGCGACCAAAAGATGAAAGTAATTGTTGCCCACCGACTAAAGTCAATATAACACATGCTGCGAGGAAAACATAGAGAAACACCGTTTCTCCATCTAATCCGTCATCTAATTCTATTACTTGTACTGTTTCATTATAAACTGCTTCACTGTAACCAACTCCATTCTACAAAAAGATATATCATTATGAAAGTTTTATAATCTCATTTAGCATTTAATTTGTGATTTACTACATACTACATCTCTATAATTAAGATTAACGTTGAGTCCAAATGGTCTTCCAGCAAACGTTTCCGAAGGTATGAACGAATATGCCAAGGTTGCTTCGTGTTTAGGTTTGACTACTCTATTAAATGTGAACGTAGAAAAGTTTTGAATATAGAAATTGAAATCCATGGCATAACGGAAGGACGCGTCCAATGATTCCAAAACAAAATCATTTTCTCCTTTATTGGTGAAACCAACAAGGAATTCTACCAAATTTCCAGCAGGTAATTCTACGAATATAATTATGGTTTATTGCCAAATCTGTGTCAATACGAACGGTAAATAAAATTAGAGATAAAAATATAAAATGTATACCAAGGGTAGATAATGTGTTATAGATAGGTTTAGTAAATAAAATGGTTGTATCTGCATCAGTGGAAGCATTAGTCGTTTCTTCTTCTAGTTCATCGTCAGTGATAATTGTATTCTCTTCACCTTCAACGTCTACTATATCATCAATATTTTCATCTTCTTGAGCATAAGCTATGCCAGATCCTGTTCAATATAAGAATAGACAAAAATATTTATACAACATTATTATTGTGATATTTTCTTTTTTTCAAGTAACATGTTTAAGTTAACATAAAATTAATATTAATAACTTATGGCATAGCAATATTATTCAACAATTTTGATATTTGTACATAAAAATATGTTATGTATAACATATGATGACAAATTCTTAAATTAGGTTATGAAAGTACAAAAATCAATTTGATATAAAATCTGTCAATAATTCTCATAAGATGTCATATTTGAAAGCTGTCAAGTGAAATATATTAACATACAAATATGAAGAAATGATAAAAATAATTAAATAAAGTACGGATGGTCTAAGAACGTTGTTCTTTCTGTCACTTTAACACCACATTTATAATAAAGGAATACACATTTTGAAAAATTAAATATTTCATTATACATTACCTCTGTTCACACTTAAAATGATAAAAGGAATGACTAATAAAAGGAAATAACTGAATTTCTTCATATTAATGAACTATTTGTTAAGTATCTTTTCTGTTATGTGGAAGGACTAATTTGATTTTACATATAGTTGGTCACTGAGTCTACGATTGAATAAATCGACATAACGCGACCGCTACCATTGCCGCTTGCTACGTGGAAGGTCAACAGCGTCGCGTCAATTCGTCAACGTGGAACACGAAGTACGTAACCATTAAGTATTTATACATTTAGAGAAAGTCATTTGATTTCTCTACGCTGTCAATGATATTACGCTTTAGCCCTCTACTGAAATTTTATTCAACTATTTTAACATGACCCTTTTCAATATTCATTTTATTATTTTTTAAATATATATATATATATATTTTATTGATATAGAGTATAATTATAGATTTATGTGTAATAAAATATTAGAAGCATTTTTTTTGTAGTCTTGTAAAGTTAATATACATATATATATTTTTATCTTTTTTTTTTTTTACGAGTAACGTGACGTCACGAAATTTAAAGATGGCGCTCAAAGCACTCGTATTTGACGTTTAAGTATATTTTGTATACAGACATTAGTTTGATCAAGATCTGATGTGCTTAGTTAATTTACGTACATATAGGTAAATTTTTGAATATCCATATTATTGGAATTTAATCAATATATCGTAATTAACAATAAATTCATATTATATTTATATGTCATTTATGTTCTTTGTTTCATCTTTTCCCATTGAATTTAAAATTTGACATGTTATTTGTCACTGATAATTTGACTAACATTTACAGAAATAAAAAGTGATAGAGAAACTCGAAGAATCAATGATGGATTTTGAAGATGACTTCTTCTTCGAAGAAGATAAAATGTTGGTTTTAGATGATCGTAGATGAAAATTATTTATTTTGTTCTATGTTTCGTTACAGTTTTCAATGTGCTTCCTTTTTCTTATAACATGCATGCTCTGATACAACGCGGCGCGGTGGAACAGCTTATTATTGGATGATTCGTTGATATCTCATGGCAATGCTTCTTCAAATTTAAATCCAAGTGGATTAACCGAGGATAAAAATCTTGCTCCTGCAACCACCGTGCCACCAGCTATTGTTGAATTGCATCAACTAGTCATGATGGAAGATCGAATGTATGCACTAGTAATTCTATGTTATACAATTTTTTAATCACTTTTTTTTATATTACATCTTTTTGCACATTTCACTTACACATTATCGCTTTATTTTTTCTTTCTTCTATTATTTACTCTTGTGGAATACAGACCAGACGTAGAATTGGTCGCACAAGATCAATCTATATCGCAGTTACCCAACATTCAACTGTGAGTGTGGCTCTTCTTTCATCTATTCGGTAGTCCAATGGGTTTAATTAATTGATGCTTTATTAAACTATTATATATGCATGTATTAATTGCATATTTTCTTTCTAGAATGTATTATATTTGTAATTAAATATTACAGTGAATAATCTATGTGTATGTTTGAGATGTATAGATATTTTATATTTTTTAACACGTTCTCTAGTGTGCTATGAAGAAGAGATTTCAATTACAGCTTAGAATTTATTTGTTACTTTTATTACCATAACAAATGTATAATGCTGGGCTCTCAAGTGAAATCAGTGTGTTACAGATACGTGACACTGGTAGTGAACGTGTTAACTATACATTCTTTTGTAGAATTAGTAACAGTTAATGGAATATTATGATTCCGTGTATTAACATATGTTTTGTATTATTAATATATTAGGGGTATGACTATTACTTCTGGAAATGTAGTAATACAAAAAGACAGCAACAACCTCATTGGTATCAGCATTGGTGGTGGATCTCCTCTTTGTCCTTGTCTATATATCATACAAATTTTTGATAATACACCTGCCGCATTGGATGGCACTCTCCAATCTGGAGATGAACTAGTAGCTGTGAATGGGGTCTCTGTAAGGGGTAAAACAAAAGTAGAAGTTGCCAAAATGATACAGTCTTGTGATTCCCAAGTTAGCATTAATTACAATAAATTGCATGCCGATCCTAAGCAGGGACGTACTCTCGATATTGCTCTGAAAAAGGTGATTAGTTTATGGTATACAAAATATGGATTACTTAGTAACCCGAGTATTACCATATTCATTAATGATCATAGGTTAAACATCGATTAGTAGAAGGGATGGGCAGTGCGACGGCAGATGCACTCGGTTTATCACGTGCCATTCTTTGCAACGATGCTCTTGTTCAAAGATTAAATGCTCTGCAACGCACTGAAAATTTATACAGGGGCCTGGTCTCTCATGCAAAAGCTACGTTACATACCTTTTTTGATCTCACTCAAATTTATAAAGGCAAGTATATATAACATTTACAATGGATTATTTAAGAAATAAAAAATTCATTTGATAATAACAAAAATATTTTTTATATTTTAGTATTTGGAGATACGTTCGCTGCAATAGGCGTTAGAGAACCACAACCACGTGCCAGCGAAGCATTCAGACAATTTGGGGAACAACACAGGCAAATGGAAAAATTTGGTGTGACTATGTTAAAAACCCTGAAACCTATATTAAATGATTTAGGCACATATCTTCATAAAGCAATACCAGATACACGTTTAACTATAAGTAAATATGCAGACGCAAAATTCGAATATCTTTCGTATTGCTTAAAAGTTAAAGAATTAGATGACGAAGAACAAAGTTATGCGGCATTGCAAGAACCTCTTTATCGCGTTGAGACTGGCAATTATGAGTATCGATTAGTACTACGATGTCGACAAGAAGCTCGTGCTAAATTTGCTAAATTAAGAGCAGATGTTCTAGTTAAATTAGAGTTGCTTGACAACAAACACGTTCAAGACGTCGTATGGCAATTACAAAAATTTGCTTCCGGATTAGCAAAATATTATGCTAATACCGCCGAATTATTATCGGCGGTAACATTATTCCCCGTCGAAGTGGACTTATCTAATTCAGCGTTTCAATATAAATCGACCGGTCCTCAGTCCATGCAAGAGGACGAAGAAGATATTGAAGAATTTGAGCCAGAACAAAAACAAGAGGTCAAAGAAGAAGTTCTCATAGATACGCAAAATCCTCCATTGATATGGATGGATGGAAATAATATGTAGCGATATGTGTTAAATAATAATAATTGATCGAATATTTTGGATCGTATTATTGAAAATTGACTTTTTAAAGTTTATAACGATAAATTATCGACGGTACAATAATAAGCCTACAAGTATATACATTCCATAGAAATTTGTCATAAAGTAATATATTTCTGCTTTAACTTAAATTCATATTATTATTATTTAATAAGATTTAAGCGTTATGTATTTCTCTCATTTATTTTATGTCATATCGTGTTGAATATATATATATATATATATATATATGTGTGTGTGTATATATATGTAAATACTATATTATATTTTTTAAAAAAAGATACTTTCATTTTTTTTAAATTTTCTATAGTTATATTTAGACGAAAAAATGAATCTAACGAATCTATATATTATCTAAGTAGTTTCAGATATTATCGTACTGATAAATTGAAAATCACGTGATCACCAATAATAAGTAGGCAACCAATTGAATCATAGCCGCCATGACACCCTTCGCGTTTGCTCATTGTTAAGGTAACTTGTGTATTTTTAAGCTAAAACTACTCTTAGTTTTAATTTTTACCAATATTAGCGCTATAATCTGTTAGCAAGGAAAAGTGTTGGTATCGTTATTAAAAATATATTTTCTAACGTAATTACTTTGGTGATTTGTTAAATTTTTCGCATCGGATATAAAACAAAAAACAATAGTTACTTGTTTAATTTATAGCGTGATCATATTAAAAAAAGAAAGGGGAGTATCGCTCGAAGATGTTCTTTCTAAACGACCGTCGATAAAACAGATCAGTGATCAATATGTTGATAATTTATGGAGTGTATTCATTCCGTCACGTTTAAAAGAGGAAACAAAGTTTATATTTGTATTTATTTCATGTATATAGTGTCACTCATAATTTAACACTTAAAATTGAAGAAGAAGAAGAAGAAGAAGAAAAAAAACAGAATATACTTGTACTTATGTTTGATGCGTACAGATCTTTTTTCTTGTTTTTCTTTCTTTGTGTGTTTATATATATATATATATATGTATGTAAAAAAAGAAAAACCATAGATCGCGAAGAGAGAGAATCTTTCGGTTACGACGGAATGAACCAATCGAATGTTAGACTTTTCCTACCAACGCTAAGAATATAGTAGATAAATTGGTTAAACTGCAGTGTCGCGTATCGTTCAATCTGGCGATCTGTCAATTACTCCTAACGAAGAAACAGCTGATCCTTATGATCGAGATATTGATAGATTTGATCCTGTCAAGAGAGATTACATGTGATATTTGCAAAGTAAATAACCGTACATTTTTTTAACTAATACTCCTCGCATTTTTTTTTTACGAATGATAGCGTAGGGGCATTATGGTATACGCAATGACTTTTATCCTATCCCAAAAAAATGAATGCAACTCTATGGTGTTACTGGTTGCAAGTATGTATGTAAACGATTGTTGATCTCTTTTGTTATTGTTTTCAAATGATCCTCTCGGTTTTCATAATAATGCGGTGATTTGTAGTACTCGGACCATTTAATAATCATTTTTTTTTTCTTTTTAATCAATATACACGTAACTATATGTATACATGTATTACATTTAATATTACTTTTTCTTTACCTTTTTTCTTTCTCTTATCTATTTTTCAGCAACTATTTTTATTTAAAAAGTGCATCACATTAATGCAACAATAATATGCTAAGGTCAAAAGACTCTGAGAGCGACGGTGTTACAACTAATACCGTACGAGTACAAGAAAGTTGTAGAGGTAAAAAAGGCGAGAAGGGTCATGAGGAAAGTAGCGGATGCATTTTGAAAAACGCTCTATTGTCGATACAATCCGACGAAGAAGATTTCTTGGAAAAAGAAGCATCCAAGGTCTTACTTCTTCAGAAAGGATCCGATGTTGATGGTGAGTCTGCGACTAGTTCTTGGAACAATGTAAACACAGACTCGTCTGTGTCATATGTAACTTCTATTCCAAATGGAAAAGAATTTGTCATTTTAACTGGTCTCGAGCAAGTCAATGATAAAGCTGTGACTACTACTAAGGGGTTGAAGCTTTATGATAGTTTGATCCCTTTTGAAAAGAATTCTAAAATTCAACATAGTTCAAAACAGCATAATAAGATTATACTGTTGGGTGAATTTGTGTCGGAACAAGAGGCAATAATTGGTATTAAGAACGGGGAACAAACAGAGACTACAAAAGAAGTAAAAGAAAGTATGGAACAGATTAATTATAATAGCAAGGCGTTCGATAGTAGTCAATTTGAGAAAAATGAGGCCGATCTTAAGGAAGGTAATAATTGGTTGAAGAGTTTCCGACCTCTTCCCCTTTATTATACCGAACGAGGTAAGCCTTATTTGAAATGTCCAGCCTGTGGTGCTATGTTTTTCACCTCAACCTCTTTTCAAAAACATCTTTTTACGCATATGTATAAGGAAAGAGAGACATATACTTGCTCGTTTTGCGAATACACTAATGCGGAACCTGGTATGTTGTTCGCCCATTTGTCCAAGCACCAAGATCAATGCGAGTATTGCAATGAAAACATAATGCGAAAAAGTAATTTTGAAAAACACTGGGGTACTTGCTCTTTAAGTTTCAGTATAAAGAGAGATCGTAGAGGAAGATTCATATGTACAATGTGTAAACTAGTGTTTGATTTGTTGCCCCAATTAGAGAAACATTGGTTTAAACATGCTTGCAAAAAAAGGCGGACTTACCAGTGTAAAGAATGCGGAGGATTGTATGGGAACAAAACAATATTGCAAAATCATAAGTGTTTAAAGTGTCCCGTCTGTGGTGAAGTTTATGATAGCTTACATAGATTAAAGGCACATACGATGTGGATGAAGCATCATTTAAAGTGCCTCATTTGTTCCTATGAATTTGTTCTCGCTATGGATCATGAAAAACATTTGGCTATGCACAGACAAGCTTATTTACCTATGAAAGAGCACGCTCATTGTTTGGAGGCAGCCGACGGGAAATCATATCAATGCGATCTTTGCGACAAAATATTCTATGCTTTAACACGACTGATATTACATGTAAAGGAAGATCATGGAATAGAGGATGTTAAAAGAGAAGCTATTAAAGAGGAAAAGGATGAGAAGGAGCATAACGAGGGTAATGGAAATAAAGCTACATATCCGAACCTATGTCAAGCGCCTATTTGTTACACGGGCGGTCAAAATGTCAGTTTAATTAAATAACAATAATTACTTTTAAAGCAAGCAGCAGATTACAAGTCGGTACAACAGTGTGGACAAGTACTTTGGCTGTGAATCGCTACTAATTGCTCCTGCGAACTACAAACAATTGGTATACAAATCCGTAATAATTTTAAACACATTTTATACTCTTATGAATATATATATAAATATATATGTATATATTATATATATATATATATTATATATATAAATATAAACACACCACATAATATGTTATAGAAATTGAATCGTACTGTTGTTGAAACTCAATATATAAATGTCTATGTTAAGAGTTAGTAAGTTCCCAAATTTATGATAGAGGCATACAAATTATTACTATTATTATTATTATTATTATATAAAAAATATTAAAATGATATATTAAATTTATGACTCTATATGCTTACAAGCAATGTATTTATTTTGTAAAATTTTATTCGGAAAAGAAAAAGAAAGAAGGAAGATAATATTATAAGAAATTCATTTTATTAATTGTTCAAACAGGGTAGCTTGCACAATGTCAAATGCTTTTTAACGATGCTTCTTTAATTTTTCTGTACGCTTTGCGCGCATAAAAAAGAGTGGGCATCAAAAATTTTTTGATTATTAAATAATGTACTCTCAAAATAATATACCGTTATATTATTCTTTTTCTTTTTTTCTTGTCTCAATCCATTTGTTTTCTTTACAATATTATAGAACATCTAAAACATTGTATAGAGATATATAATTTTCTGTATAATCAATCCGCATTTCAACATATGTAGTCCACAAGTATATTCTCATAATTTCTCGCATTATTGTACAGAAATGCAGGATATGGTACAATTTTAAATGATTAGGAAGCATTTAAGATGTTACGTTATATTTTCTTATTTTTTGTTTTTTATTTTTTCTTTTCTTTCTTTCTTTCCTTCGTAGTACTATCACTCAGTCACGTGATAATACGTTCGCAAAAATCTTTATATTGTACAATTTAATTGTAATTACAGATCTATATATATATGGTATCATATGCCTATGCCATAAAATATTTGATGATGCAAAGAGTTTTCTCCTTAATTATTCTCTTTAAAAAAAAATCAAAGCTTATCTCTTTTTTTTTTTTTTTTTTTTTTTTTTTTTTTTTATACTCTTGTTAATGAATATAGCAACGAGTCGAGCTCATAGTTATTGGTAGATCATGGATCGATCAATAGATCATTAACCATCGAGATGAACGATTCCAACAAGAACGCAGCATATCAAAGGCAATAAGAAATATAATTTATATTATGCAATTATATATGCAATATTGTTGTTCTTCATTGAAAAAATAAAAATCAAGGTATGTTCTACATATGCACATTAACTTTTGCAATGAAAATTAGTGTTTTTCTTCTTTTACATATATAGCATTTCTTTAGCTTTATTTTTCTTTTATTTATTTGTTTGTTTTTTCTTATTATTTTTTTCTCTTTAAATGCATTTACCATTGATTCTCGTTTTCACTTTCTCCCAGTTTTATTACCCTAATTTTATCGTATAGTAAAGATTATCTTTTCTTGCTTATATTCGGCTTTTATCAACACCGAAATATTAGACAACTTTTAATTGTAAAAATAAAATTACATTCTCGAGAGAAAGAGAGAGCGAGAGAGAGAGAGAGAGATTCTTCATAGGACAAAAAGTAGGTGATAGTCGTTTTTTCGTTTTCATTCTTGCGTCCCCCATTTCTTAGACTTTTAACCATTGCTTTACATAATCAAGTGCATTCAATAGAATCTTCATTTCGGATATTCTCAATTGTACAATCAAGCGTTGCATCTTCGGTAATCTGGTATTGAGTTTTTCTAGATCCTCCTACGTAATAAAATAACAAAATAATTTAAGATTGTAATTCATTCAATCTACCGTTCAATTCATAACTCTTTAATATGTAATATGATTTTTATTTACCTCTATTGTTGAAGGATATTTAGCGAGTAGTAATTTTAATCTGTCTAACAAAAATCTCATCACACATTTTTCGACGATGGTATCTAAAGCGCAATCGATGTGTTTCAAGTCAGTAACTTTATCTGATTTTAACCAACGGCTAAGCTCAACCTTTCGCATATTAAATACACGAAGAAATGCACGGAGCGAATCGGATATCGGTTCAGTGCCAGCCTCTAATAAAAATTTACCCGTCGCAGGTAATCCTAATTTATCTAAAAGCTCGGTACGTTCTTTTCTAAGCGGATCTGACGCGCTAATACCAAGAGGGATTCTAACTCCATCCTACAAAAAGATTAATATTATTTGACTTTGTTTTGTATTTCAATAATCATTTCTCATTGTCATTTGTGATATACCTTTTTATTTTCTAGACAAACAAAACCAGAGTGTACTAGAAAATCGGAATTCGTTCTTGAACCGTAACTGATAAATATCTGTTCTCCTTTTTTAAAATTTCTCATTGCATAGCATTCGCAACAATCGGAAGTTGTATTAAAACCTGTAGTTATCTGAAAGAGAGAATATTTTGTAATGTAAAATATTATTACTGTATTGTATTTATATAGAATAAATATACATGTACCCTTCCTTCTTCGTGGTTGCACATATCCCACATTGGTATTAAAGCATGGATCATGCTGGACCCGTCTTCGCTTGGAATTAAATTTTGTCTTGTCATTACTGTAGAAACGGCCCAACTGAAAAAAAAGAAAATTATTAACATAATTAATATTTAAAGAATAAATATAATATATATTTTTTAAAAATAAATTTTTCGTATATGTAATTTGTATAGCTATACTATATACATATATACCAGGACTTTTCAAAAGAAAAATCTAACGCAATCTTGATGAGCCCATATGGGGTCGCACAATTAAATTTTAGGAAAATTTAGCAAACAGAAATTTGAATGAAACTAAAAACAATATACTATATTAAAATTACGCCATATAGATCTCTTTATATAATCTTATGAAAGATTAAGAGATATTATATTTATAAATGAAAAGAAAAAACCATATACATGTAAATATGATTTTTTAAAGGAAGAAACAAGCGAACATTTGTTCTCGAATTAGCAGAGCGAATTACTATACTTTCGCCTTCGAAACGATCGCGATCACAGGAAAGAGAATAATAATCATTTTACCATCTTACAACGATGTGTTTATTTTCTCTTTCTCTCTCTCTCTCTCTCTATTTTTTTTTTAGGATAAGAACTTGACCTAGATCGCCGGAAATGGAAGTATATGGTATATACATAAAAAGATTCATTCCTGTTCAAGTGTTGTTAGTTTCGTTGTCGTTTCCCTTTCGACTTTCTCTATCTCTTCAGGAAAAAGAGGCTCTCACTTCTTTGATTCTCATCTATGGCTTTTATAGAACTTACATCCATACATACATCCATAAATACATGCATACATATATAATAGAAAAGTATATGTTAGTTGAGAAGATGAAGAAATGATATGCATTGTATTTTAATAAACACAAATCTATTATTAAATCTTTGATTGGCAAGTAATTGATTTTAATATACATCTTCTGCGATTCTTTTATTTCTTATATTAAAAAATTAAAAACTTTCAATTACACGAACATTACAATCAAATTCAGAAAGTTTTAGCAATTCTTAATAGTATTTTATATTGTTGATTTATATATATCATCTAATTAATTAATCTTTATTAATATGTAGAAATATGGGGTCATAATAATTGAAGGATTTCAATTAAATTAGTTAGGAATGTCATAGAATAGATTTTAAGTAATTAAGACTTTCTTCGGTAAGGTGAGGATGTTCAATAAGGAGTAGGAATAAAAAGACGGAAAGAGAGAGAGAGAGAGAGAGAGAGAGAGAGAGAGAAAAAAAGGGAAAATTGTAAGAACAATGGCGAGAAAAAGAGAGGAGAGTCTCGACGTCATCAGTTGGTATTTGCAGCAGGGATAGGATGGGGATGCACACTTGAGTGCACGTGGGAAGGTCGTGAGATCTTTAGTACGAGTACCAACATGCACTTTCTACCAAGGAGATGATGCATCATCGACATCGATGATACTGAACTGAACACGCGAGTTTATTATGAGATAGCGAATTTAAATATCAACTTTTGATTATTACTATTTAACTCCTTTAATTAGAAACCTAAATGATCTATGTCTATTGTAGTTTGTTGGAAAATTTAATTATTGTTATAAACAAAAAATTATTTTATCTACAATCATCAATTTGTACAACATTTTTATATATAAAAATTAGATTTAAGCAATGTTAATTTTTAAAGAAATTAAATTACAAAATATATTACAAATACTGAATGTATTAAACAACTTTCTGTTTTTATTTAAAATTCAAATTAAATATAAATCAAAATGTTTTTTGAGAAACATTGTTTCAACACACAGTGCATTTATTTTAATATTGAAAGATATTAAATATAAACAATAAAGTATGTTAAAATAAAAAAAATAATATTTAATTGTATTTTGATGTGACATAATTATTCAAAACGAAAATCATTTTTTATTAGTTTCAACCAAAAAGGAAATGAGAAGATCCGTTAACTTCTTTTTTCTCATCCTCTTTTTGTGTGAAAAGTGAAACTCGGTATAAGTATGTAATAATTAAGTATATACAATGAAAAGAGAATTAATAAAGAATCAAGTATAATATACGTGTATTAAGGAAAAGAATTAAAAAAAAAAATAAATAAATAATTGAGTCTCTCGTTTGTAATGACGAAAATCAAATTAATTCGTTCATATGTGTTACATTAATTAATTTTCTCTATTTTCTCGAATTTTCTTTGATAATTTTTATCTTCAATCTGTTTTAATAAATAAAATTTTCCCCATTAGTGTGAAATTAATTTTAATTAAAAGTAAAACAATATTAACATCGAGAGAAAATTTTGGATATACTTTGTAAATAAAAGATAAACACAAATAATTTAATTTTATAAAATAAATAATTAAAAATTCCTAACGAATTACTTCATATTTCTTTTTTTTTCTTTAATTGAAAAATTGAAGAAAATATAATAAGATCAATCGATTTGTTTGAGTAGCAAAAATAGTATACGTTGGTAAGAAGATGAGATGAAGAAGAGAATGTTTAGATACGAGACTCCTCTCCTCTCGAATTTCACCGGCTTACTTAGCGGCAACCGCAGAGAAAACTCTCGTCAGTCGACAAGAACGATTTGTCCAGGGTAGATGAGTCTCGTTTGTAGGGGAAAAAGAAAAAAAAAACAAGAAGAAGAAGAAAACAAGAAAAAGAAGCAAAATATCAAACGCACGCATCTATTAATACACATGTAGTATTATAATTTGTGATATGAAGATTGCTAAGTAAAAACTGGCAACGAGTTTCTCAAAGCTTTTTCTTTTTGTTTTTTTTTTTTACAATCGGTCAGTGATAAATCCACAAAAAAATACAAAGAAATAAAAAGAAAGTGTTAATTCAATGAGTGATCTACATATATTTACATATGCATATTGCTTATACAATTAAATAAATAATAAGCAATTGAGAATAAATGTTTCAAATATCGAGTTGGTCTTAAAATCGAATGGATTATATTTTGAGTTTGTGCAATCGTAAAAACGTGATATTTGTAATACTGTGTACATTGATTGTAACGATCCACATCTTGGACTATGCAGGAAAGGATAATCATATTTTTATCGATCGCAAACATCCTGTATCTTCCAGGTTGTCCTTCGGTATATGGAGAAACTATACTGAACAGTCCAGGATACGAGGAGGATATTGTTATCGAGGATCGTGCGGTAAGGAAATTAAACAAAATATTAAATAGATAATATAAAAAGAAAGGAAAAAGAAATAATATGAAAAGAAGTGGAACCAATTCGCCTAGATTCACCGAGTGTGAAGTATCTTGAACGGAAGTGCCCGTTTAGAAGGAGCACAAATGCGAGTCCTTTGATGTGTATTCTTGTTCTCGAGAATGATCTACGAGCTCAAGACAAATTACACGCATATGTGTCGCACAGACTATTGAAATTTCTCTTATAGTTTCCTACCCAATTCAAATTGTTCACTGACATTTATTTAAATGCATATGTTAATGTAATAATAATTGTCATTAAAGTTGCACATGTCGATTATGTAAATGACTTAAGTGTTGTTTCAATTCAAATTTTGTATTAAGATTAAAAGAATTTGTTGTTATTTGTTATACGTGCATAACAAATATTTTTCTAAATAATCAAATTTATTAATACTAATGTTAATCATCGACATCGTGATCATTCAAATCGCATATATTGTATACAAAAATGAAAATTTTTAGTTACAACGTTCAACATTTATTTTAATTGCATTTATATGAAATGAATATTAATCGAGATGTTGAAATTTCCTTTTATTATGTCAAATAGTTTTATCAATGATCTTTGATTTTGAATGATGATTATTATCATCATCATCATCATTAAAGTTTCTCGAACTTCACGGGATTGTAGAAAAGCGAAAGGATACATAAATATATTTGACTTACATATACATACATAAATATGTTCATGCGTGTTTGTAACGTATGTAAGAGGAAGGCATCGCTTCGTTGTCATCGCGTATCGTAATTAGCAAAGAGACGGCTTGAGAAAGTGTAGGACATTGCTACGATGAGACGAACGACCGCTATATAACAATCGGTAAACCACGAGATAGAAAGATTGAAAGATAGAAAGAAAGAAAGAGAAAGAGAGAAAGAGAAAGCTGGAATCTAGTACCATTCACGGAATGTTCGAGACTTTACGAGTATTTTGTCACCATTTAATGATCACGAATAAGGTGAATATATTAGGGATAAAAAAACAAACCTTTCCCATCTAACACACTTTTAGTATCAGATCATAGAGAAACTTCGTTTAAAAAGTTCGCCAAATTTCTTTACCGACGTTAAACTTCATTTCATTTTACCAATCGAGTGTATAATCAAATTTTATAAAAAAAAATAAATTTGTCTCTTTCTACTCTTTAAATAAATTTTAAAAAGGATATAGTAATATATTATTTTCGAAGATTTAATAATGAAAAGAAAAAAAAACAGCAATGGTAGAATTATTTGTATTCTAGATAAAAAAAAATACTCCGAAAGTAAAAAAATATAAATTCTATTATTAAAAAATATATATATATAAAACATTATATGACTCAGTATAGAAAATTGGTATAAAATATCGGACATACTAGCTTGCAACTTTCTTGGCCTTTTCTACGCATTTTCGGCATTCGATCGGCCGGAACGAAACAAACTCATAAATAAGAATAAATAAAAATAAATAAAAAAGAAGTATAGGTGATCGTAGGAAGAGAATGTGGAAAGATTTTCGTTCGTTACGAAAATACGAAATAAAGATCTCTAAGAAGAATCGAGCAAAACGATCTTGTTACTCTTCCTTTTCTTCTTTCCCTTCAATCTTAAGAAAGAAAAGACAGGACGCATTCGATGCGTGGTTCCGTTTTAAACAACAACAAAAAGATAAATAAATTAAATAAAAAAAGGTACATATGCATGTAAGAACGAACGTATACATCGTCGAGCGTGTTAACGATCGCACTTTCTTTTTCCTATGGTCGTTGAACTTTGATCGTTATTTGCGTTTGCATGGCTCGTTTCGCCGCACTTACTCGCCTGACTTACAACGCAGTAATTGGAGCTCTAATTTAACCTCGAAAGAAAAAAAATAATTTAAATAAACCCCATCCTCTCGAACCGTTTCAATTAAAAAAAGAAAACAAAAGAAAATCAAAGGCCAAAAAAATCCCATAAAAATTACATCTTTAATCAATGATATTATTTCGAATGCAATTTACTTGATTTCAATAATTATCAGATATTTTTTGAATTTATTTTCTTCTCTTATAATTAAAATAAAATCGAATCAAACCTTTTGATACTGCACAGACAACGAATGGAAAAGATTTACTATAAAAATATAGTATATACGGATTGTTATAAAAATGATTATGATGATTATTCATTAAGATGCTTTGGAAAATAAGTTCTTTATATATCATAAAATTACGTTAACAAGCAAACTAATGAGTACAATGATTCTAGGGTAAATTTGTTGGAAAAGACACGGTAGTTGACGACGTGTATATATGGACGTGCCTCGATGCGCATATTTCACTTTCTTAGGGCGAAATCGCGGAAACGAGAAGATCTTGAATAAATAGACGGAAGAGAGTTTATTTTTAGATTTTTCAATTTTGTATAACTCATTAACATACAAACAAAAATATATAATTCAAAATAATTTTTAAAAACAATGAAAAATTGGAGAAATTGATCAAATAATCAAACAAATGATTACTTATTATATTATATAAAATACTATTTAATAATATTTATTATTTGTTATTGTGTTTTCAGAAGGCGGCAGCGTTGCGTAGTAATAAAGATTCGTATCTTCGTAAAGAAGAGTCGAGAAGCGAGTTACTCGGAAAGTGGAGGAACAATGGCGAAGCTTTGGAACCAAAATGGCGTGACGGTGATGCTGTACCTTTCCTACCCTTTTCTCAATTTGCTCGAACCTATTCTCAAAAAGATTCTGATTTGATAGGAGATGATAATTCCTATGACGTAGTTTATCGTGATAATATTAATTATCGTAGACTTGACGAAGATCGTGAAAACCATTACGTCGATTCTCGACAAGATAGACCATTTTCTCTTCCCGATGATTCTTCGACGATGCGATTGGAGGAAAAAAAACATGGAAGACAATTGCGCGGGAAGATTGAACAAGTACCAGTTGAGACTTTTCCGAATGATAAATTTCTACGAAACGATCGAGTTGGTTCTACCGATTATCGAGATACTTTTCAAATTCGTCCAAATGAATACGAACATGAATTAACCGACGAAGAACATTTGAAACCTCGACCGAGAAAAAGACGTCCACCTCAGAACGAAGAATTCGTTTTGAGCGCTAAAGAAACTTTGCGTCACGACAGAACAAAAGCTTCTTCTACTTTACAATCTAATAATAATATGGAGGAAGCTTCTCCGAAGAAAATCGAAGCTATTAAATCTTTATTGAAAATGCAACAAGAGGAAGGTGTTAGTATTTCAGAAATATTACGTCGGAAAAATTTGACTTTAACAGATCTGTTGAAAGGTAAGGCGGATGTAATTAGTGCATTAAAGATGGAGGAAATAGATGAAATCGGCGATGATATTGAACAAATTTCTATGGCAATGACGAGTACGTTGGCTAAATTACCGTCTACGACTTTTCCAAGTATATTTCATGTTTCGTCTTCAAAATTAAGCGACATAATGACGAGTGAAAAAACTACTACGATCGATCATTCGTTGAAGAAAATTGCACAGTTAAAAGAAACTACTACAGAAGCTGTTGCAACAGTTTCATCCTCAGAAATCTCTATTGATTTGAATAATAATGACGATAACGCCGATCAAAATTTAAATTCTATGCGAGGAGGAATCTACAGCGATGAGAATCACGATGAAATTATGGAATTTTCAGATTTTACGGATTATAAGAAAGGAAGAACTACCGCGTCGCCAATTTGGATTTCTTTGGTACCAGAAAATAATGCTATTGTTCGTTCTATGGAAAATATTAATATAAATCGTACCAATAGTGATTCTACTGTGAGTATCATTAAAATTTTGAATCCAACTGTCGAGCCATTTATTGAGAAAACTTTTCAAGAAAATGAACCATTTAATAAAGCTTATACTGATGCTATAAATAAGGAAGGTAATTCAGCTGTCGCAGAAGATCACTTTGATAATATTTCTGAAGCAGATTATCAATATGATGCACCTTCGAACGATATGAAACAGGATAATGAGGCGGGTGTGTTCTCTTTGATAAATAAGAATGATTGTAAAAATGATAGTGATAAAGATAAAACTATATATTTAGAAAAGGATAAAGATCATTCTGAAGAATTTATATCAAAATCCAAAAATGATTCATCTTTCGAAGAAACAATCAAAACTTTCTTCAGAGACCATCCCAATGTAGAAAATGTGATGTCGGAAGGTAAACATTACGAGGATATCATATCGGAAATAGAACCGGAAGCACGCGCTGAAATTTTTGAATTATTTGCCTCTGGATCTGGAGGTAAAAATCTGGAACGTTTGTTGAAGTCCAGGAACATGACCTTAGAAGAACTGATTGCTTTACGTCAAAGAGGCTCCAGTAAAGTTCATTTAGCAGAAGTGTCTCGTCTGAGAAATCATAAAGCTTTAAGAATATCAAAGGATAATCAATTATCAGAGAAAAAACATCCTAACGATCCTGAAGAAAAAAGTATCATTCCTGACCCTCAAAATGAAACTGTTGAGATAAAGAAATTGATAAATAAAACAGAACATGTTAGTACCTCGCAGATTCCTCCAAAACTCGATAAGGAAACAACAGAGTCTTCGTTTACTACAGAGATTAGTTTTAAGAGTATTAAAGATCACAGTAAAAAAGAACACGAAGAAGATCCAAATCGTTTTATAGAGATTACAGAATTATTTAATACCTTTACATCTTCGTCGTCTGGTAAAAATCAGGATCAACGACTCTCTGAGAATATTAGAGAAACGTTAAATAATAATAAGATAAATGACGTTAAAAACGATTATGCGACAAAAATGATTCGAAATGATACGGAAGTAGATGTAAATGTGGTATACGAAGGATCTAGGAATAATGTGAAATACGACGATTACGATGAAAACGAAGATAGAGAAAAAAGTTTATCAAAAATTAAGCCAAGTATAATAGCTAGTGGAGCTATACTTGGTGTGACGATAGTCGTATTCCTTGCTATCTTTGTAACTTGTAGAATACGTCATAAACAAAAGTATAGATACAGAAAATCCTTCCCACGAACAGTATTTCAAAGTCCGATAGCGACAGCCAGAAAGTTGTCCAATACGAGTAGCTTGAATAATATAATGGTGAGTGTAGTTGCCACTTCAACGGCAAAGAGGACGGAAAAAAATGATATGCAGCAAACTAGTAGCAATGACTACGATCCCAAGTGCGATATTGATAATGATTCACTCGATGCTAATGATAGTTGGGAAACTATACCGGATTATATAAAATGAGACAACATAGTTTGTCTGTAATTGAAATAAGCACTTTCATTCGAGATTCATTCATGGTCGAAGATCTGAAATAAACGTGCAATGGGCATGTATACTCACTGAAACTTTATATAAAACACTTATGAGTAGTAAAGCAAACTCGTATTAGATGTTTTTGAAAGAATAATAAAAACATCGAGTTCATTAATATATTATAAATATGATCACGATATCAATCTCATCTTTTTTCGTTTTTTAGTTATAAATACACACACACACACACACACACACACATGTAGATATAATGTATTTATTTATGATTTAAGTATTTAATATAAAGTATTTTTGTAAAAACGTTAATCTATTGAAAGTAATCACCCTCTTTATGTTGGTATCAAAATTTAAATAATATGTCTACATAATTTACTCACATATAATCCTCGTATGAAAAAATATCCCTGAGCAAATTAGACACTGCATCACTACCATTTTGAAAAACTCTATTAAAGTAAGAGTATTGTCGTGTAATATTCCTGACTTGTCTCAAGGCAGTTTCTGAAAAGAAAAAAAGGACAGATCAAAATTTTATGTGAATATTTAATTGCACATTAAAAGTGCACAAAATTTACCTAATGTTAGACTGCCTTTAAGCTTGTTCATTTCAGGTAGATTCATATAGAGCACCGTATTATAACTAGTAGGAAGAATATCAAAGTACGGTTTCCATTTCGAATTTTCTTTATATTTTTCGACAAGCAAAGCAATAGCTAATGCCACTTGTGGCATCTGTTGTACCAAAGGATCACGTTGAAAACTTTCTAACTCGGGGGCAGCTGTTTGCGTACTAAATATAAGTTTCCTAGGTATTTCCAAAATAAGTTCATTCTCTACAAAATCACGCTCTGCTCTTAGACCTAAATCGTATCCCGTAAAGCCAACAATACTTGCTCCATCGACGTTAACATCATTCTCTTTCAGCCATCCCATGAATTGTCCTACCCCCCGGGATTGTTTTGATTGATTTGTCTTCATTGGTTGTAAGTTGCTACTATAGTAGTCAATTAGCATTAAATTTGGTGTGACACTTATATAGTACTCCCATAGTTGTGTGTTATATGCAGGATCGCAGCTCACTAAACAAATAATACAAATGAATATTATTAATTTTAGTTTGTTATAGAGTTTATACAAAATAAACAGAGATAATTCATCATTTAAGAGTATAGAAAATGTAAACGATTTACAAATACATAATAAATAAATATATATGTATATATATACACATATATATGTGTATATTAATGAAAAGATACTGTATGTAAATAAATGATTATATTGTCAAGTTAGTAAGAGGAAAAAAAAAGAGTGAAAGTTGATAGAAAAGTTGAACAATTTGAAATACTTTAGTTGTTAGATCAAAATATAATTTACCCCATGTATCGGACAAGAAATTGCTTAATCCGACGATAAGTATATCTCAATTGCTGATCCCCACCCTCGTGTGACCTGATAAAGTAGACTCTCTATCGCGATAGAGTCGTAGCACCAAATGCAAACTCGGACAAGGCTCTTGGTATTCTACTCACTGTGATATAGTCGGTCGCACAAATCATTGAGATGTTTTCTCGCTTTCACCGCCGATATTTGTTTTCGATGATGGTTCTGCTTCGACGACGAATGGGACTTCTTTTTGTTCATCTTCGGAAGATTTTATAGCACCCTGTTAAATCTACTTGCATTCGGACGCATTATAAACGCGTAATCGGCCCACCCACTTTAGGTAAGAATATACACACTTTTCCCCTTCGCGAATACGAAAATAGAACGCTGCTTCTTCGGTAGTTTCGAATTCTCTCTGATGTATGGTCGTTAGAAAACGACCATAACCTAGAAATTGTCAAACTCGCTACAGGAACACCAACGACCGAGAAAATTTCTGTAGGATCATGGAAGGTTATCACGCTATATTGATTTTCATTCATAACGGGGTGAACCTATTGTTCTCAATTACTTTTGACAAACGTTCTTTTCAATTTTAGTTCATCTTTTTCTTTTCAGCATAATATAATTAATAATATCGCTGTAAATGACAGAATATCGTTAATAAACTGTAATCTTTTTTACAAAATTGACTCCATTCGCTATTTTTTAATTCTATCATATTAATCTCTTTTGTTGTATGAATTAATTAATTATTTATGAATGAAATTATTGATACCTAAAAAAGTATACAATATTATTATTAAGTATAAACATTGTCATAAAATATATATCAATTTTATAATTTGTATGAATTATATGAATTTTTGTATGAATAAATTGGAAGGGTTATATCCCTGCAATTCATTGAGTCCTATTGTGCAACAAAGTTTTCTTTTAAAAATCTTCTTATTTATTTCATATAAATGAAATGAAACATTATCATTATTTTTTTTCTTCTTTTACATTATATTATTACTTGTAATAATTTGTATAAGGTTGTGCAGATAAATGTTTCGGTGGTATTACTTTTCTCCTCACTTTGTATATACAAAATTATTTTAGAAATTTATAGCTATTGTTATTAATAATGAGATAATATTTACATTAAGGGATCTCCTAACGATTAATATCTTTCCTTTTAAATATTCTTATAACGTATCGTTAATAAAATTATACTTTAAAAAAAGCACAGCATTTTCTATTCGATATTATGCTTACTATTTTACATTTTATTATTATTATTATTATTATTATTATTGATAAGTCTATTCAAATAATTGTTAATATTTTTTACAAGAAAAATGTATATTATCGGGATCACATGATGTGTTTTTTGTTTAAAATAAAATCTATTAACATATGCAATATATTAAACAATTGTGTATATTTTATTTACATTATTAAAATAAAAGAAAGAAAAAAAACATGAATAAGTAAAAATAGCAATCAAATGATTTTGAATAAATGTAATAGAAGAATATAGAATATTAATCTTGTTACATGTAATATCTATAATTTTGTTTTGCTTAAATCTTGGGGTCTATTATTACTTTTTCTTACACATATATATCAGTTCGCAAAATCTTTCATACAAAGAGGAGCACACCTAAAGAGCCCCCTTAATGTTACTCAATCGTTAAGATTCTTGTATAATTAATTAACTGTGTTATCGTAAAACAGTTAATAAATTTGATTTTTCGCGCTGCAAAGCAAAACAAATTCGTTGCAATGAAAATAAGGGAAAATAAAAAAAAAAACCAGCAACGACTAAAACAACAATCATCTACCTGTATTAATACAATAACCGATAATAACATTCAACCGCAAACCTTATGCATTCTAATTTACTTTAATTCATCTTTTTAAAAACAAAAGAACACAATTCCAAAATAGGTATATGCAGTATTCTTTGCAGAAAACAAGCAACACGATATATATTCTCGAGTCGCTTAGTACTAAGTACTTGATTTTACAAATTTATATTACTTATTGCTTATTTCTTTTTTATCGAAATAAAACAAAAACGTATGAACGAACAAACAAACAAAGAAATAATAAAAGTGGATTCAACACCCACGATTCGTAAACATATTTAAATATCCAACGGATGAAACTTATAACTACGTAATTTGTACTAGAGTACAGATCAACCGCGATAAGCTTCCTTTATGTTATTTATATTGCTTATGCACAGTGCAACAGAATTATAATTATATTACACACCTGCAGCATTATTTGTTAATTTCATTCGTAGACTCTTTGCAGCGGAAATCTCGTATCTTAATTATTAATGATACAGATATAGTTATGGTAATAATAATAATAACTAATAATAATAATTAATAATAGTAATAATATTATTATATACCGTTATTTTATACAATTTAATTACTAAATAGTCTTATAAATTAACCATAATGATTAGATTTGTCCTTCTACCCGAAGTAAAAAATCAACATTATATTTATATATTTTGAAAGAATGTGTTTTTCTTTCTTTAACAGAAGCTATTATATTTTATTTTATATAATTTCGCAACATTTGTAAAAACAAAAGAAATTGCTTTCCACTCGGCACAATTTTAAATGAAATTTGTTTGTAATTTAATCATTCTTTGGGCTCAGAGTGTTAGTTTTTTGTATAATCATAATTGATTAAATATTTATTCAGAGCTTTATGCAAATTAACTTGGATGACATCAACATAGATAGGTACATATCACAGCACCTTCGATAAGTTGTTATATTACTTAAACATTTTTGTACGGATAAAAAGTGCGACATATAACTGTAAACTATAAAAGGTAGAATTTTTTAATTAAATTGGGAAAATTTATAACTAGAGTATCACCATCACATAAAATTTGTATTCAATTAGATAAAATTTACGTGATACGTAGTGCGATCTTGTAATTATTTATCACAAAATCTTTACCTGTGGCACTGTGCCATTGATAACTAGCTGTACAATGTACCAACACGTTGCGAAAGAGATAGAGATAGATAGATAGAAAGAGAGAGAGAGAGAGAGAGAGAGAGAGAGAGAGAAATTGTTGGGGCTATAAAACTCACAGTACATAAATATATAAATTATTTCTCATCCAAGTTATAAACATTGTAATTGATTGTGCAAACACTATAAAGTCAAATTTACAAAACTTTGAAACACGTACGCGTGTCGAATAATTTGTGTGTTTTCTTTTACATTTAAATTTTTCTTTGATACATATTTTATATATATATATTTTTTATCTTTTTTTTTTATTGGGAGGTTGTATCAGAAATGCTTTGTCGCCATGTGGCATGGAAAGGAATTTTCAATATTTTAACACGTGTCTTAGGTAATGCAGTTAAAAGAAGTTTTTGAAGTTGCGGTAACGGTAAAATATCAACCTGCGGACTCGCCATATTTAATTGCCTATCTTCACCTGTAAAAATAAAATGAAAGAGGGTTTTATTTTATTTGAATTAAGACTTGCTTGTATTTGTAAAATAATTCAATCAATTCAATCTCGGTAGCATAAATGATATGAAAATAAGCTTCGTAATTGTTAAAGCAATTAAATATACCTCTTTGATTATCATTTTCATCCTCGACATCTTCGATTAATCTCAAACAGGGTACTGGTTTCAAAACTGGTATAGAATCACCAATAACCTGTTTGTTCATCAAATTGCACTGATCGACAAATAATTCAGTAACTCTTAGCAATTCAAGTGTAACGCCCCAAACGAAATGTGTTAAATTATGTGACAATTCGGTAACACCGCCGAGTACCATGTTATTAGAAGTAGCCGATTGTGATATGTAGGTAGGTATGATCAATAACCTCTTGATATTTCTACATCTGGCAAGACACTTATCGAAACCATTTTTTACGTCAAAATTAACTAGTTCCATTTGGTTTAAATTTGGCAATTTAGAAACACCTTCTAAGATGTCAAATGTACAACAGGATCCTTGGCCCTTTTCAAGCCGGAGACGTTCTAATTTTTGTAATTTCATTAAAACCGATGTTCCAAATTTGTCTGGAAAATCGGAGCACTCTCCCAATTCCAATGTTTCTAATTTTACCAGTAACTGTATTGTATCAATTTTCTTTTTTCCAAGCTCTTTAACTGATGTTAAACTCTATAAGTGATAGTAACAATTGAGTAAAGAAATGGGTAATTATACATTTATGGCATCGTAATATATTACTTTATTGGAAGATAACTTACCAAATGTGTCAAGTGTGTTAATTCTTTTAACGATGTAAGATCTTCCAGCAAAGACATTCCACTTATTGCTTTAAATCTCAATTCTTGGCATTGTTTAATGTTACCAATAAATTTTAGATTTAAAGTATCACATTTGATTGACATTGCGCTCAATACTTGTAATTGCGGACAAGTTCTGATAACTTCTTCTACTACCATAACAGGACATCTACATAGCTCCAACTTAACTAGGCTGGTAACTCTGGGTATTACATGTAAAAACTTTCTCCAAATACCATCAGAGTCTCCTGCTACAAGCATTTTCCTGAGATCCAGATGCTGTGTACCGTGTCTTTGTAATGTATCTGCTAAACCATCCCAATCCGTCACTTGGCTGTTCTTCATTCTTACAGTTTTCCATAAGGAAGGATGTGCAGCCAAATCTCGCCACATTTTACAAACACGAGAAGCGCGTAACAATTCTTGCACTTTTAGATATTGAAAAATTCGTAGCAATGCATGATAACCTGCGCATACATTGTCCATGAAGTGCTGCTGTATGTTTGACTCTTGTTTGTTTTTGTTTTGTCTTCTGAAAACAACAAGGTAATTATTCCGTTAATTAAAATATAATTTGTTCATCGATATCGTTTTTCATTATATACATATAATCTGAATACATTATTATATAGCTACTTTATCATTCACTTAACTATATATGTATATATGTTCATATAAATATATACTATACACGGATTAAAGCAATAACAAATATGGCAAATACCTTTTATTTTTTTTTTGTTATTGATATATTCTAATATTTTATATTTATTTATTATAGGATTCGCGTGAAAATATTTGGACCGTTGAACTGACTGGACCAGTACTCAAATCCGGGTCTTCCATTTTCTAGGCGACTGCTCTATAACCTTTGAGCTATCCAATCCAGAGTCCTCCGGTCAACTTTCTCACGAATACCTATTTTATTTGGGTTGCTTGATCTCACATTATTTATTTACTTGTTTTTCTTTTTCATAAATAATATAAGCAGTTGCCAATTTGTACATATTCGTTTAAAATATAATATAAGTGACATTTTATGCGTTAAATACATAAAAATTGGAAAAAAATAGATATTAGAGAAATATAGACGATGAATCTAATTATATATTATATGGCAGTATCTTAAAATGATGATGATAATATAATAAATTAAAATAGTCAAAGAAAAGAAAAATATGAAATATACAGGATAGAGGATAAGAACATATAGGACGATTTTGTTGGGAAAACGCACTAAGATTTTTTTTTTGATTTTCTGCTCGCACATGTCATTATATCTGTAAATATAAAAAGTAAAAATGAATTAGATTTTTTTTAATGAAGCACTTATCAATAGCTGAATCCATAATTGTAGTGTTAATATAAAGAAACATTATCAATATTATCGAATTATACTTTTACACTGTATTAAAAATGATTTCTTTCGAACAAATGAAATGAATTTTATTATCGACGCAATGACAAATTATGTTTTTAACATTGCTTGAATATTTACCAAGTTTAGATCTTTACTTTAATACTACAATTACAGAGAGAACCCACAATGATCAGAGTACATAATCATTATTTCTTTTTTTTTTTTTGTTGAATATTAGTCAAGATTTTGGCTGCATTTCTAAGAAGCTAAGGCAGTGTGCTTCGATCATAAGATAAAATCAAATTCATTTTTTAATATATATATATATATATAAGTTTTATATTTGCAAATATAATAGACACCAGTATATATTGCATTTACAATTAAAAACAAGTAGCTTTCAAATGTATTTGTATAATATAATATGCATATAGATAATAATCTACTTTTTATAATTATTCTTTAAAACATAATTACATTAAGACTAGTTTCTTCTCTCGCTGCATTATTATTCATTATTTCGATGCACGTTAAAGCTTTCTTAATAAAAGTAACTATTATAACATATAATATTTAATTAAATTGTTGAGAAAGAGAGAGAGAGAAAAAAAAGAAAGAGAGAGAAAGAGGCTACTGATGCCATTATGTTCTTATTATTGTTTTGTAAAGGCATAGCATACTGATCTTGTAAATACAATATGTACAAAGCAACTGCCAAAACCTCAAAAGAGAGTTGCCTTAAATTAAAACTTATTCGTAGAACAAGCTTGACAGAATAAAGTAAAATAAGAATGCCTATGCTCATATGTTTTTAAAAAACACTTACCTATTACGCATCCTTACTACATTTCTATTAATTGCTATTTGTTTTGTATTTGTTCTAGTTACTTCACTGTTCACATTTAATATATTATTTCTATTATTTCGAGTTGTCGAAGACATTGTCTTTCTATACGGTAATCTAGTACTCTTTCTTCTTGTTTCCATAGACGAATATGCCTTTGCATTTGAAGTTAGATTTTCTGACAGAGATACATTCAAAATATTTTTATTCATATTACTATCCGACGTTTCATTCGTGTCGTCGGAAGATCCGCACGATACAGAAACGTCTTTCGACAATTCTCTATCATAGATATTCTCAGTCATATCATTGGAGGCACCGGATATTTTTTTGGAAGATGAAATACCTAAATTTGTAATAGTCGAATTTTCCATTGTATTAGATACATCAATTAAAGAACTTTCTTGCAGCATTGGCGGTTTGTCTCCAATTTTGTCAGGTTTTATTGTAATAGCGGGTTGAACCGCCATAGAGTTATTCTTTGGTACAACTATATATTTTTTCCCTCCCATCAAAGCAATGTTTTGCGGTTTTGGTAATACTCCTCCATCGTGACTTGACAAAAATTCATTCTCTGATTGAGGAAACCAACTATCTTCCTTTTTATCTGACGACGAAGACGAACTTGTTGAGGTAGCTGTTTTTGAAAATTTGTTAGTACTGCGCGATTGTATATCTGTGTTCTCTGACTTTGGAATTCTTTGTAATTTAGGTGGAATTAAACCTGTTTGCGACTTTTGTTTTACATTTTGTGTGCCTAACAAGCTTATCGGAATTAGTGGAGGTGGCGTTAAAGACGGATTCATTGATTGATGTTGATGACTTTCTGTAGAATCTTGTTGACAATTCTACAACACAAATAGAGTTAAAGCTAATTAAAATAATGAAAATATATGAATGAAAAAGAAATCATTCATTGCATTTAGAAACAATTATACATTTTTCCAAAATGCATATATATATGTAATACATTGATCATGTATTATTTAATTGCTATATTAATATAGAATAGAATATAGTTAATAAATACCTACCTTGCAAATATAATCATCACTTCCTGAAAATTCCAAGCCATCTACGCACTCAGGATGATATAAGCAAAGGCATACGCGACACTGTAAACTGGGAATCAGTCCCATACTTGTTGAACATCTTATACTGCATGGTTCTTGAACTTTGGGCCTGTAAGATGTGCGTTGATAGGGGGAAAATAGAAAGGAGAGTTTAAAATAGGTAATAAGGATTTATGGGATAGTAGAAAGAATTAGGTAAATATGTAGTGTTATGAAAATTATAGAAGTTAACTGCTTCTAAAACATATGTCCTGCCTTATATATATATCCACAATCGCCTAGTAAGATGTTAATTGACTAAATTGTTATAGCTGTAATAAGTTTCTAGAAAAAGCGAAGAAAAATATTCAACCGTATTTTCTATTAATCCTAAATTCGCACAGTTTCATAGAAAATTGAACCGAAAATAAGATCCAAGCGCTTTCTTCTATAACACATAGCAATCATTAAAACTGCATCATGTGATTTTCCTGAAATTTTGTTAACTTTTGTTCTTTATAAAACCCTGTGTAGGATAGTTAAAACCGATGTAAATTTCGCTTATTTACATCGGACATACAAAACGACGAACATACTTGTTGGCTAAATATATACATCTCGTTCCAGAAAAAAAGAAGAGACAAATGTAAGTACTTACGTAGACAATCTTTTGCTTTTAGCAGGTGTTGCTTTCTCAGCTGCCTGTTGACTTCTTCTTGTACTCGTCGCATTTCGTTGCGGTGGTAACATTTCTTTTTCCTCTGTCGATGGTTTTATTTCTGCTATGCATTGTTCAAAAAGAACAATTATTAGAATATGTTTATGGTACGATATATAAGTGGTAAAATTTATGAACATGTATAGACTAATATATTCATAATACAAGAAAAATCTAAGAAACATTTAAATATCTTATATAAGTGGATACATACTTATTTGAGGAGTTTTCTTTGCAGGCACTTTAACTTTGAAACTGCTAGGTGTTTTCGGTGATCGAGCAGAAGTTTTTGCAGGCGTCGCTGATGCTGTCGTTTGTGGAGCTGTTGATGCCGGTGATGATGCAGAAACTTGTTCTTCAACAGGTTTCCGCGAAGACATAGCTTTCTTAGTGCTGAAAGATCTCCTTGACGGCGTAGGTGAAAGTCCTATTGAACCCTATAATGTTCCCCCCCGTCCCCATCCTTATATATAGTTTGACTCAAGATATAATTAATGAACAGTTTAAATTTGAAATCAAATATATTAATAGAAAAATAATATTTACCCTTATCCTTTTCGCGTCTCGAATAATTTCTTTATCAGGATCATCTAAGCCAATAGGTTCTTTGAAGAATGTAAAATTATCAATTGTTAATTCTCTTGAATGTACTACAATAAAAAAAAAAAATAAAGAAACAAAAAACAAAAAAAAAAGAATTAGTGAAAAAATTGTAAATCACAAAGTGCATCATTAATTTATGGTACACAAAAAAAAAAAGAAAGATATGTATCGATTTAGTGAAAAGAAAATTAACTTACGGAATTCTGCTACTTCTCTAAAACTTCTTACTTTTTTCCCCTTTGGCGTATAATAATAAATATCTGCCATTCGCTTAAGGCTAGAATCATTACTTGCTCTGTACACCAGTTCACGTTTCCAACCGTACTTGAATGGTTCCTTGAAAGCGGGATCGGACATATCTATTGCCAATTTTTGTTTCATAGCACTCCCAGGACTGGCGGCGCGCGACATCCGACCCCCTTTAGATTTTAGTGACATTCCTGAAGGACTACTTGTACTAGACGACGAGTTGACCGACTTAGTGGAAGATTCTTCAGCTCTTTGCTGTTCCATGTCTAATTCTATACTATTAGCTAGGCCGATAGAATCTGAATCAGACTCTCGTTCTTTTTTTATCTTGTCAATATCAAATAATGAATCCATTTCATATATACGCATTTTATTATCATCCGAGTCTTGATCATCGTCTTTCCTACCATCATAATTCTTCATTGGTATCATATACCTACAGCGTTTTGCAAGTTGAGCTTCTGCAATTTCTGCTTCAGCTATGGTCAAAGAGAAAACATAAATATATAATAAGAAAAAGACTGAAATGATAAGATCAAGATAAAAGATCCAATTGTAAAAATACTTTTAAGTATTAATGATTGATTATTATAATTATTTGTCCAAAATTAGGACTGAAGTAAAAAAGATAATTCCTAAATATTAAATATTGTAATAACAAAATAAATAAAGAGTTTTGTTTTTTTACCAATAAGCTTTCTTAAAACATGACTTCCTGTGTCGAGTTCATCAGCTCCTTGTAAATCGAATCCATTAAATCCAATGGATTCTTCGGAACTAGCGTCATCAGGTTCGGAAAGCTTACGTTTGCGTCCTTCTCTTGTAATGGAAAGGTTAATGTCGTTTTCGATGCTACTCGTTGAATTGGCTTTAAACTTGCGCAACTTAGTCTTGACCGTTGTAGCGGGGTTCTTTTTAACAGAACCTTTTAAATCACCGTTCACTTCTTGACCGTCCATATCGACGTCCATGACGGTGTCAGCGGCGTTATCAGGAACAGTACCGGCAACTGTATCGATCGCAGTATCGGTCGCTGTATCGATCGCGGTATCGACAACAGTATCGGCGACGGCGTCGCCGAGAGTCGTCTTGTTTTCGGATTCCTGTAATTCCGGCATACTGGTAATACTGTCTAGGTTAGAATCGTCGCGCGCCACTTTAGCGTTCCCGCCATTCGCATTGGTGCTGTCCATTCTGCGGTCCCCCCCTCACCCGCGGGACCAACCACGCGACACGTCTTTAGCCCTATCCTCGTTTATCGCAAAGAACGCCGACGGAGAGAGGGGGGGTGGAAGGAGAAAAAGAGAGAAAGGAAGAGAGAGAGAGAGAGAGAGAGAGAGTGAAAGAAACAGAGGAAAAAGGGAGGAAGAAAGAAAGAACAATCAAGCGGGACAAGAAAGTAAAATATCCAAAAGAGCAGGATGACCAATAAAAGAAAAAAGATACGATGTTCGATATTGTCTTGTTATCCCTTAACAAGGTTCCTTCGAACGATAATTATTTTCGACGTTATATATTATAAAAGGTTCAACGCAGAAACAATATAATAACTTTAGACGTCTAGATAACGCAACCCGCGCTCATCTATCCGAGGATGCGCAGAACGTGCGCGCACACACTGCCACTACGCGCTATTTACACGAACACTAAGCCCCGCCGTCCCTCATCAACTTCTCGACTTCTCCACCTCTTTTCGTTCATCACGTTCCAACAATTAAATCGTTTATATCTTAACACTCTTTCTCACTTTATTCGTATTAATACGTAACTTAAAAACTCTCGAGTTAAATCAATGATGACGACTTTTTTTCTGCCGAAAACCAAGACGAAGAGGAATACGAAAACTTTCGGGAGGTGCGGAGCGTCCGTGTAATGTCAAACCGGAAACAGCACCGAGGAGCTGTTAACACTTTGGTCGAATATCTATGATAACCCTGCTTCCTGCTTTTCCAATGCAGTCATCTTCCAAACGACCAATCAGAACTCGTCTTTTCTTCCTATGCTTTTTTCTTATACGTCACATTCAATCATCTTCCAATGTCCAATAAAAACTCTCTTTTTCTTTCTACCCTTTCTAATTATACTTAGCGTTCTTTTATAATGATTAACTCTTTATTATTACCCGTGCAACGTAAAAAATCTTATTAGTTATAGAATTCTTTCTTTCTTTTGTTTTGTTTTATTTAAATGAAAATTCTTGCATTTTTATTTTTATCTTATCGTGCACGTAATTGGATAGCTTTGTAACTTCTTCTTTATTGGCTGCTATCTAACATTTGCAATTTCTGCATTATTTCGCAAAATTAAATGCACCTTTTCGAAGGCTCGTTTATCTTCTATTGGCTAATTACAAAGTTTTATTTATAAAAACAAATTATTAAAATATTTATATATGTATGTATGCATCTATGTATATAATAACAGTTGTGTAACTTACATGTATACGATAATTATGAGATAATTATGTCACATATCGTGAACAAAGTTATTGAAAAATCAAAGAATAATTAATGACAAATTTTTATAATAATTATATTGAGATAGAAAAAAAACCGAAATGTTGGCCAACATACCTGCACATATTTGTCTATTAACTTGATTTGACTACTGCGCCACACACATACCTGCATACATACAATCACGCGACACACACACAGAAGCATACGGTCATTATCCTATTTTCCCTATTACAAGTGTGCATCACTGTGGGCCAAAAGATAGGAGACTAATAAGACGAATAAAATTGACTGATTCGACATTTGTCTTTTCTTTTTTTTCCTTTTTTTTTCTTCCCCCATTTCATTCGACGAAAGAATTAAATTATCATTTTACGATGATATTAGTTTAAATTTCAACCAACTACTTGCAAATCTTACATACAAGGTCTGTAGACGTGAAAGTTTGTAATAATCATTTAAATTGCATATTGATTGAATTGATTGAATTACGAGTATTTCTTGAGTATTTAGGTGTACGCATGAATGTATTTACTATTGATGAAGAAAACATGCATATATTATTTTATTCTCAACTTTCGATATTTTCTTTTGTAGTGTTAATAAATGATATTAGTAAATAAAAACTGTTTTTTTAATATGTAATGTGATTGATAAAACAAGTTTGCTCATACAAAAAATTTTATTTTATATTGAATAAAAATTAAAGAAAAATTGTGTTTGTGTACAAAGGTACAAAAATAAGTTAAAAAATAATCACACTTTACTATTGTATTTTGTACTAAATATTCAATTAATTTTCAAATATTTGTAATATAACTTAGTTGCTTGTTTTTTATTTAGAATTAAACGCATCCTTCAAATGGAGCGTGTTCTAAAAGCAGTACCAGCAGGCTTAAGAGTAAAAATGGAGGCACTTGTGCATGATCTGACCATTGCTCTTGAAGAAAGCAGTAACAGTGCTAATGTCAGACGTAGATGGGGTATAAGGAGGAGAGCTCGTTCAACTGGAAATATCCGTAAGTGAAAGAACATATAAAGCAATAGAAAGTAATTAAAAATTTTTTAAATGATAGAGCATATATTTTGATTATTAAAACTAAAAGTTGAAGATACAGAATACCAATTGATCTAATTCTATGACAACATTAATTACAGTTTGCTTCTACGAGGTATACAGTGGATTGTTGTCAAGATTGTCTTTCTATAAATATCAATGTACAAGAAGTTGAATTACATTCGCATGTAATCTTTGATTAATAGCTTTTTCAAGATTTGAGATAAAGTTGCTCGATAAGAATCGCATTTATTTTCCAGCCTCGCTGAATATAAGCAAACACTCGGATGATAGTTCATCTTCCATCTGCGATATCCGTATTCTAAAAAATTCAACACCTTCTAAATATCAGTCGGACAGCGATGACACCAATCAAACTAAAAGATTTGCAAGGTTTTCTAATCTGAATAATATAAGCAACATAGAGAGCGATTCGGTCAATGAAAATTTTATACCAAGGACTAACACCAGGCGTAAGAGGAAATTCAAGAAGATGGCTGTCGATTCTGATTCTAATCCATCTACATCGCAAACAGTTACTATTATGTCGACCTCTTTAGGGGGAAAAAAGCGGGTCCTTAGGAACGATTGTAAAAATAAATATGAAGCCATATGGTAAAATCTAGAGATCCTACAAAATTTATATACACCAAGACAATTGTATTACAATTAATCTTGATCAAGTTATGTATTAAATATTTCTACTATTAGGTGTGGAAAACGTAAGAGATCATGCAGAGAACGTTCTACCGATTGCGAAATGCGTTCTTTAAAACCAAACAGAACATCAAAGTCTAAAGTTCGGGGGAATATACAAGGTGAAGAGACCGTAGATTGCTCGCGTATATCAAGTTCAAGTATTTCTTCTAGCGATTCTGAAAATGGTATAATCACAAATGACGAGGATCGCGAAGGTAAATATTTGTTGCTTTTTGTTAAACGTATGTATTTGATTATTGTTTACTTTTTTCTATCTTTTAGGAGACGACGAACAATCCGACTGGATAGTGGAATCAAATTGGTGGGATGATGGAGACAGTACGACTGAAGATAAAATAGGAACAGATTCGACATTCCAAATGATATTACACGGTAGTTTCGAACATTCTACCGACGAAAGCAGAAAAAGGTATAGACAAAAAGTGAAACGAATTCGCGAAGGCTTTACTGGTAGAGAAATTCGAGCTGGTCGTCGTCACGTTGATAATAAACCCGGATATTCAATCATTACGTCAGCGAATGAGAAAGTATCAAGATTTTTACAAGATCCATCTCAAAGCGAACTTAAATTACATCCCATGCGCCAAGCTGAAAGGGAGAAGTTACGTCGTCTTGCCAATTTATACAGTTTAAATTTAAAAGGCGATTTAGGTTGTCCAATATTATATAAAACATTACATACAACTCAAGCTGTGTGCGTGGATCAAGTGTCGTTAAACAGATTCTCTGATTACAAAAGATTAAGAAAGACACCTCCTAACTCACCTAATCCCGATTCAATGATGCAATGTCATGAACAACATATTTCTAGTACAAGTTTTGGTACGCAAATTGTCCAACAAACGCAAGATACTATGCCGCTGCAATCAATAAGTTTTCCACAATTTGATTGGGACTCCAATAATATGGAAATTGAAATACATGGAAAACCAAAATTTCAAGATTTTGGACATTCAAAATCGAGTTAAATTATATGCATCGCTTTGCATTAGTTTGTTTTTTAATACCTAATTGGACAGATAACCTGTTTACTATTAATAAGATTAAGTAGGTATTCTAGAATTGATGTATTATAATAACGTTAAATTTAATACCAAAATTGTGATTTTTTTCTAGATTTAATCTTTCTATTATAGTCCAATGCAGCTTTAAAATTTGTACAAAATATGAAATAATAATGAATAAGTTCATCAATTTACTACGCATAGAGTAAGTTTCATGATTCTGAATGTAAATAACAATTTGTATTTTTCTTATTAGCATAGCATATCGCATTATTGTGAGTGATAATTAGTATACGTGAAACATTTGTTAATACTATATGTACATCATACAGTATATAAATTTGTAAAAATTCATAACACATGAACATGTATCATTTTTTCCTTTGTAATAATTAAAAAGGAATAAGATCGAAATGATTTCTTAGAATATTATATGAGATTTGTATAAATTTAATTTAAACATCACACATACCTTATATTGAAAATCATTTAAATGATCCAACCACGATAGGTTAATTATTTTTATAACGTCAGAACAAACGTGTCTCATATTTAAACTCATATTTGAAAATATCAAATTTATATTTAACTGTCATGATATTTGGTAAAAAATAAATTGAATACAATACTTTAACCTTTCATGTAATGCAATTATATAATATTTATATCAATATGTTTTATACATGAAACACAAATTTTTCTTCGACATTATATCCGTCCAAGTTTCTTTTCAGCTGCCAATACATTTTCATTGGCAATTATTTGAAATTCTTGGAATCGCTGGGAGACTCGTTGGTTCATTTTTAAATATTTTTCCATACAGTTAAGCGCGCACTTTTCTTCCTTGGGTTTAACATCACGCGTAGTAAAATCGGTTATGCAGTCGATAAAACAAATCTCTGATAGTTTGTTGTAAGACGTTATGAAGTTTTTAAACTAGAAATATATAAATATCAACAAAAAAAATAATTGTGATAACCTACAAATAGAATATTAATTTAAAAGAAAAATTTTATATTGATGAATACATACAGTCTGAATTTCATCGAACTTTACTTTAGCAGGAACTTGCATAGCCATTTTGTTTAATAAATTTATTCCAATGTTTCGTAATTAAAGATTAATATTGTCACATAAGTAGATTTGAGGTTAAGATTTACATATAAGACTACACAAATTCAAATGCGGTCTTGATTTAATATTGCTACCACTTCCATATTGCTAAGCGAGTTAATCAGAATCGTTGTCCAATACCAAGTCAAAAGTAATAGCCAATCAGAGTGGTCCTTATTATAGGAAAGTTTCTATTAGTCTCTAACCATAGCTTCTTACAATGCTACGGAATCAACTAATCAGAATCAGGAAGATAATAGAAAGAGAGAAAAAGAAAACAAAAATATTTTCTTATTCGCAGTGCTGTACTACGACTGTTCCTAAAATAGTGTCAGAAACTAATCTAGGTTGTTTACAAAGTGAAGAAATTCTCCTAAAGTGAACAAAACCAATTCTGCAAATTATGATTACTATTATATATAAATAATATATTAATATAATCAATATAAAAGAGTGTGAATAAAAAGGTGTGTTAGTTTATTATTTAAATTCGCATATTACGAACAGATAACGAACACTCTTTTAAAACCCAATTATTCAACCATTTTAATCGTTTCAACCGTTAATAATAAGAAAAAAAGTGTCGGTTAAATATTTAAATCCTTTGTTATACTTTTTTATTTATATCAATGAAATTTTAATTAAATTATATAATTTTTTTAATAGGATTATTAATATTTTTGTAAAATGGAACGAATAAGGAACACGCGCGTTTTTCATTAAAAACTTCTTACAAAGACAGATGGCGCCACCAATGGGTTTATTACTTGATTTCTAAATTTATCATAGAAATATCTACGCTTGTTGAATAAATTAGACTTTGTTTATGCACAATATTTTTCGAAATTACGATAAAACATGTGATTCGGTTTAATTTAGTTGTTTATCTAAAAAAAAAAATATAAAATATTTTATTCATTTCGTTTGTCATCGATGATTCGGTCGCTTCCTTTTCTGCGTCGGTAAGATAGAGATTACCAATCGGTCACAATTTTAAATTTTCTTAACGTATAACGACCTGCATCGGTTCGATCTTCTTTTTTTAATATTTATTTATCTTCAAATAACATCGTTCCCTTTGTAAGCTTTTTCTAACCAATGAATAAATACATTTAGAACGCTCCGTATTATAAGAGTGTAAGAATGTTTAAATGTTTTTCAGTGAGTTTATTCAAAGAGTATATCCTCGTTTTACTAGTTTGAACAAGAAGTTTGACAAGTGCAATTTTATAACCGGAAAAAAGAAAAAAAAGAAATCAAAGAAATGTTAAAAAGAAATTTAAAAATATTTTCGCGCAAAGAAATTAGAACGCCAAAAGAAAGGGAAAATAAAAACTACGTTGTATCAATGAACAGCGAAAGTTACGAGGAGCAAATAGATCCTATCGCGATTTTACGTCAGGAAATTCAAGATTGGAGGGATCATAAAGAAATTAACAGTATGGAGGAGGTTTATACTACGAGCAACCGGGAAAATGATTCGTCTGAATCACAGAATGAAAATGTTTATTCGATTGACGACGACGACGACGACGACGACGACGACGACGACAACAACGACGTAACGTAAGTAATATTTTTGCTCGAAGCTTTTTTCTTCTTCTTTTTTTGCTGCCACTGCTGTATGTTTGCTCCAAATTTTGTCAATTTTTTTTTTACCGAGAAAGATAATCTGTTTAGTAATTTACGTATAATACGTACGATAATAAGATTACGCAAAGAGCATTGATTTGTATAAAGTCAATTACTATGCACTTACCATACATATATTGTAAAAAAATATGGTAGCGTTCGTTGCACTTTTGAATGCGTGCCAATTTATTTTCGTATTTCGATTGTAGCACAAAATTCATAACAAATAAATGTATTAATAAAAAAACGAAAAAACTTTTATCATATCGATTCGTTTCGATATATTTCCGCAAATTGCAAATAATTGCTCAAAAAATGCTAATAATATACTTAATGATAATTTTATTATTATTATTATAACGTATGCACGTTTATACATATGTAACCCACTCATACGTAATACTTCAAAGGTGCTAATAATAGTTCTAAAGATATTAACTATATAATATTATAGCAGGAAACAATAATGCAATAGTGCAATCTTATGTTTGTGCATTTTGAGTGTGGTCATTTATTTTCAAAATAAATTAAGGTAAGTACAAAAAATATATTAATAAACCATTGAAATATATACTATTAGTATTAAAATATATATAATATATATACAAATCAATCATACGTGGGTGGGTTGAATAGTTTTATTTATTTTTAAGGATCAAACACGTCAATCCACGCTCGTACGTATGGAGAACAGCTTATTTTGGGGAAGCTTATTTTTTATTATTAAATTATTTATCAAAAAAACAGAAGAAATCAAGAAAAATAATGGACGATAGTTGGATATAGAACAGGGTAATCTAACTATCGAAAAAGAAAAAAATCGATCAAACTCGATAATAGCGTCAATAGCCAACTCGAAAAGAGTTCAAGTGGTAGTATCTCTTACATAAATAAAAAAAACCATTCAGAAAGAAACAGGACCGTTCGTCTTGTCGTTCGGTTATAGGTATGTACCTACATATGTATGTATTTATAAAACATGTAAAAAAAAGAGAAAGAGGAAGAAAGAGAGAGAGAGAGAGAGAGAGAGAGAGAGAGAGAGAGAGAGAGAGAGAGAGAGAGAGAATTACTACGTCATTCCGGAATTTTCGAAAGTTTTGTCGAACCGGTTTATAACTGCCACACGTATACTTGGATACCATCGTCTGCGCGTTCCTAGCGTGCACCAACAGTCTTCAATTCTTCGGTACTTAACATACATACTTGCTTTATTACAATTTATTTTGATTTCAACCCATTCCTAAATAAAAATCTACACAACAATAGTTATAATTTAAATTATTTTTAAATTGATGATAAGTAAGAACAAAACTATATATGTCATATGTCGATTGTTTAAAAGTTCAAGAGAATTGAGCGAATGAGTTAATACATTAGGACAAAATTAAAGGTTGGGTCAGTTTATTTTTGGAGTTATCAAAAGCTCTCACCTTCGCTCTTGAGGAGGACGAGGTGGATGAGTAGGGAGGATGGGGGAGGGAAAGCATCACGAATAAAGCATGACAATGAGCTAAAGTGTTGTAGGTTAGTGAGAACAATAGTCGTGCTAACCGCTAATGGGCCACATGCGTATGCCGTACGCATTACATAGCGTAAAAATATTTTCGGCCATGCATATGCGCCTTGAATAAAAAATAACCATCAACCTCCCTCCATTTCTCCTCCTTCTCCTCCTCCTCCTCCTCCTCCTCCTGTCGACGACGACGGTGTTCGATTCGACTCATGTTTCTGTCGTGACTAAATTTCATAATGGTTCCTCTTATCCGACGACCTCTCTTCTACCCTCCCTCTTCACACCCTTCAACCAACCAGCCCCTTTTACACCTCCCACTCTTTCTCACACATCCACGAGATTGGCACGTGTTGCATTTCCTATCGCGAGTACTGATATATGTACATAAATAAGTGTGTTGTGTTATATATCTTTTAAATTTGTTTATTCTTTTGTTTTTTTTTACGCACTTTATTTAAAGAAAACAAAAAAAAAGGAAAAAGAACGAGCATACCATATTTTAACTTATTTTTGTAGCAAACATTAAATTAATCAGTGCTGTTGATAGACGTATGTACATACATATGTGCATGATATATAATAAAAAGCCTTCGACATATTCAAGGTCTGCAGGGCATCGAAACACCAAGCACCATTTCCAACTCACTCGAGTAACGATGTAGGTTAGGTTCCCAGCGGTATATGTCGCAAAAATCAACATTCTCGCGAAGCCGGAGTTCGCAAAAAGTATAGAACCGGTTTGCCTCGTAAATGGCACATGAGCGTGTGAACGAGAGATAAAAAGAGAAATAAACTAAGAAAACAAAAGAGAGAGAGAAAGAGAGAGATGCCTAGAAACCAAGTAGTTGGATAAATATTTTTGTCGTTGTCATGTATTTTTTGTAATAGCATCTTTGTTTTTTTCTTCCGTAAGGAAAAAAGAAAAAGAAAACAAATAAAAAAAAACGAATGGTAAATAGATAAAAAGTGCTCGTAATATTATCTCACAGTAGTATTGGTTATTATTACACGAAAAGATACGCTTTTATCGCGTGTATTATAATCGGTATCCTTCGGAAAGTATTCGTCGGTGGCGCTGACATCGGCCAGATAATACATTTTAAAATAGAGTCGTTGAAATTACAACAAAAAGAAAAGAAATAAAAAAGACAAGATTCTTGAGCAAAGCTGAAAACGATACTGCAGGACGTCGTCATCACGTTAACCGATATAATAATCGCACAATCGTGCACGTTTCGTCGTAATCGTACCGCGTTGTCTACGCTTTTCGCATAATATTACACGGCGAGTAAACGCGACTGCCGCGCTCGCGCGCACGTGACGTCACTTTCTGCGTCGGCAACGTTGGCGGTAACGTCGGCGGAAACGTAATTTTTGCAAAGAAACACGCGGTACCCGATGGTCGCCGCGTAATGGCTGCTTGCTTGACCAAGGTCAACGTTCTCTTCGTCAATCGGACGAAATTTGTCACGCGCGTCGAAGGGAATTCGTAGTATTGTGTTCTTGTATCCAAGTTTGTATTTATTCGAATACCAAATGAATTCAACATTATTTTGTTTTATAATGATCATTCTTTTAAAAATACCTATACAAAGTTACGAAGCTACGATTCTGCCAAATTGACAAAAAAAAAAAAGATAAAAAGTTGTTCATTCGAAGATGTAGTAAATGATCGTTTTCTTTCTGTTTAATTTTTTACATAACGACATCCCGCACGCGTCCCTGTAGCGTAACGCTGATGTCAGCGGTACTCGGTGTCGCGCCAGTCAACAACAACGCGACGATGAAGGAATTCCTTCTGTTATAAACGAAGAAAGTGGGAACGAAACGAAGCGCCGAGGGCCGCCGACTATGCCCGATCGAGACGACGGTGCGAAGGGACGTGAAGGGGTGCGAAGGGACGTGAAGGGGTGCGAAGGGACGTGAAGAGGCGCGACGCGACGCGACGCGACGCCGTCTTCTCGCGAGACCACGGCAACGCTGCGCAACGTTCCTCTCTTTTCTAGGTTCAAGGGTACGGAACGGAGATCTTTCGTCCTCTTCTTCTTCTTCTTCGTTTTCCTACAATCTATCTATGTGTATATGTGGAGAGAAAACAATC